AGTAGATGTGACTATTAGATTCTTTACGCTGCCGAGACTATCAATGTGATGTCATTTGCTATGACGTCACAATAGACTTATTGCATTGATCATCATATTTCCTTTATGAGATATGTATATGACTGCTGTGAGAGTTTTAAATGCTTAAATATCCACCAGATGGACATAAGAATCTATTGCGACACGTTAAGTAAGAACAACAATAAGAAGAAAACCAAATGATAGTTGAAAGCGAAACTTACATCCAGTCAAATAGTTTGGCGACGACCATGAACTCTGTGATGGCGACGACTGACTGGATCGTCTTCCAAAAGACTGCCGTGGGGCTCCAAGCTGTGACATCCGACCGTATCCCATAGAAGAAAACATCGGGCTGTTCCAATCATCATCAAAATCGTCTTCATCGCTTCCCCAGCGATTAAACCTTTGTCGTCTTCCACCGAATCGTCCCCTTCCTCTACTAGAGCCCCAGGGAGAATAATCGTCGAAATCATCTATTTCGTTCGAATCATCTCCCCACCATGCCTGAGTAGAGTGTACCAGACAGACGATCAGAATTGTAAAAAATACCAGTAACTTCATGGTGCTTTTTAGTAATCTGCTTCTGTCGGTATGCTCGAATACTTCTAAGCACTGAAGAATAAGACATCTCCATCTTTTATATATATCGGCTGGTATTACTCACTAATACACAGCCAAGGGGCACCTTAGGGGAAATGTCAATAAATCAGTTGTAAGAAAACGATTTGATGTATTTAAGTTCTTACACACCTGTAATTTGGCTTCTTTCAGCAAAACAGAACAAGTAACACACATATTTATATGAGCAAAAAATAAATAAATTGTCTTAAAATTGTATGGAATTATCCCCAAAATATACAGAAAGTATTTATTTGCGGAGTAATTATTATAAACGAACATAAAAGCTTTATTCTTTTTGTCGGGAACTCGTCATATGACGCAGTGCAATGTACGAACACCTCCCCGACAGGTTTTATGGCTGTTCAATCAATCGTCATTACCCCCTGAGGCGCGTTGCAATAGACGTACATGCATTACTTGTCAGCAGAATCTATAATTACGGGAGTATTCATGTTACATGTAAATTACTCCGTCCAAGACATCAGATCTTTGTATTATTAACTAATTACGAATTGTTATGACAAAGCATCTGTTTGATAGACTCATTATCGGCAATGATTACAGGTGCAGACCTGTAAATAAAAATCCAATATGACTGTGCATGTCTGTTGCATGAAACAACGACACATGCACTATATATGTAATTAGTAGATCTTTTATCTGACATGCTGGTTTCGTGTTGGAGATGAATTGAAGGTTTTCCTTTTTTGTTTAGCCAGAGTTTTGTGTAAGTAAAATACTACATGTAAAGCGGCATATTTCATTGCTACATGCTATAAGGTATGTTAGAAAGCAATAAAAAAAAACTAGTCAAACTTCGGTATTTCGAACTTCAATATTTCGAATTTCTCGGTATTTCGAACTTTTTAAAAAGTCCCGAATTTTTTTTACTATATAACTATAATAATTTTACCATATTTATTTCGGTAAAGGCCATGGTTTTTATACATGTATATGTAATGCGTAATGCACATATACATCCGAGTAAAATGTTCATTCTATGAAATTTAAATCAATATTCACATATCGAAGTCCTGCTATATCGAACTTTTTGACTTGGTCCCTTGAAGTTCGAAATACCGAAGTTTGACTGTATAAGAAATAAAGAAACAAACAAAGAAACGAAAGACAAAGGAAAAAATAAAAACGGACGGAATGTTTTGCTGCCTCGTTTTCATCCAGGAAAAAAATAACGAACAAAAACGTTACACTTCCAATTGCTAATTTCTTTTTGAAATATTACATGTATACAATGTCTTATAACATGATTTGTTCCAGAAGAGAATTTCCTCGTATTGTTGGGGTATTACGACGATATGAAATGACGTTCTCATTCGTGTTATATTCTGACACTTTTGTAGATATACATGAAGATTCCTGTATGTACGATGTAAAATGTGTAAATGACAGTAAATTCGTTAGGAAAGCATTATTACTGTTTCCTTGTTTACCAAAAACGTCGTCATGTGGACGCCATGTGCGTGAACGCGTGCTGCTAACAATAGGCTTTCCAATACACAATAAATAATCAGTATTAGGACACAATGATTGACCATCGGCTGCCCAACAGATGACCAATAAGTGTTTAATGAGTGACCAGTAACTGACCACTGATTGACAGGTACATGTCTACGTAGTCTGAGTCACAGGCTTTGACCTAGTCCGGAGAAGTAATAATTCAAGTCAATCTATGTCATAGTTTATTTGTTTGTTTGTTTTTTTTGCTCTTTCGGTCAGTATAAAAAAATGATTTAAATAAAGCTCGTCCCTTTATCTTAAAATATAAACGCTTTAAAAACATGTCAACATGTGTGAAAATTAGATTTTTAGTGATGTCATTTTCGAGACGAATCCGTAAAGCAAACGCAGTTATGTTAAAAATTGGGTATTCTGTGAGCGAAATTGAATTAGCAGTATTATAGACATGTGGAGTTTTTTTTTACAAAAAAGAACTGTGTCCAACAAAACAATTTCCCTGATCTTGTTGTTTTTTTTTTTTTTTTTTTTGTTCTTTTGGGATGTGAATTGTGGAGTAACTTTTCCAATACTACGTTGAATGACATGGAAATTTTTCAACGGCGCGACGTATTCAAGGTTTTGATACACGGTCTCCGAATGCTGTAACAATCTCTTCCTTGGGATTACAAGAAATAAGCCGAGATATCCATAAAGCAAAACCGCTTCTTTGGAATAAGCTTTGTTTAGGAGACGATCTATTTCTGTGGAAAACACTTATTCATACAACAAAGACAAATATCTAGGTTTCATACCGGACATTTAAAAAATTATGAAAAACTACAATATGGAAACATTCTTTAGATTATATCACCCGGAAGACGAAATTCCGTTAAAATCTTCATGGAAAAAAATTGTGAAACGAATTATATAGACGAAAGAAGAGCTGAAATGAGGGGAAACTCTGGCAATAAAGGATAGCCTAAAATTTTTCTTAAATGTTCATGTAAAATTAGGTATACATCCGCTGTGGAGATTGTCCAAGCTTAATGTGAAGGACACATGGATATTATCTGAACTAATATATCTATCGTTTGTCTCCGAAGCTGATCCTGTTGTTTGTAAACTGTGTGGTAAAACTGTCGCTGACATAGCTGTACATTTTATCATAGAATGTCACATCCTGTTCGCTGAAAGATATTTGATTATAGAAATAATTGTTTATTTCCTACAGGTAAAAGACTATGTAAAATTCTCGGAAATGAGTGAACGACAATAAACAGAACTTATTCTAGGAAAACGTTCATGTGACATTGATATATCGAACAATCATTGGACTGATATGATGAAATGCATCGCAAATGTACATGAAAATGAATGAAATGATATCGTAACACTTAAATCATGAACTGACGAAATATTCAACTGGGAAATAAAAACTTTACTTTCATCTTTAAATATTAAGGTCATTCTTTTGTCACATACTATAATTCTATGCACTGCACTATGTTAAATTGTTTGTAATCTCAAATGAATGAGGAAATAAAGAATATCAATTTATCTATCTATGGCACATTTCAGTCGATTATATAATTTGTGGGGTGATGATAAGCAGTTTCAACCTCTGTCGACATTTGCCATCCTCACTCCTTAAATCATCATGTGGACCGAAACAAAATGGAACCCATGAGTGAAAAATTCCCTTCACATTGCCAATATTGATATAATGGAATTTCGGCAAATGACAAAATGCCGTAATATTGTAGAGTGTGTAACATCCGGATGTAAGCACTGTAGTTGAATGGTCTCATAATACGTTAATGGTGTAAATGAAGTGCGGACATATATTTGTATGTACAGTTCTTGTGCGTGTGTTTTGTTTTTATTTGTGCTGAAGTAGAGAGAAATATATTACCAGAATATTGTTATTTGTGCGCTCTTCGTCTAGATTATGTCCCGTTTTGACTTTTGTGCATTTTTGATTAATTATATTTCGACCTACAACACTGTATTCAGAAAGGTACTATTGACCTGTATATGTACATGTACGTACACTAACCGGATTTTGACTGGTCATTTAATGGTCAAATTATTGTAATTACAGGATAAACAATATATAACAGAATGGCGATGTATTAATATTATCATTACCCTCAAAGAATACACACATGCTATCCTAGAACCTCTAGTGTTGATCATCGCAATGCGTCAAATATCTGTGTGTTATAGCGGCTATGTGCGTTTGTATAGTGACGTTATATCAATGTGTCATTTTCCGTGATAAAACTGCGATATCAAGGCTATTTATATAAAAACACAGGCGTGTTTACTCAGCTATTTCTATATACAGATATAACTGCTATGTGTCATACAAAACATCCTTCCAAGATCTCTGAACATTTTTATATGCAGATATAATTGTTAAGTGACATTCGTCTAAATACTAGATGTACTTTCTTCCAGGTTCTCGGTGCATTATGTGCATCGTATGAAATGTGCATATACATCATGTTCCGTTTTTATCAACACATGGTTTTATATGATGAGCATTTTTCCCTACGTGCTATGTATCCTAATTTCAAAAGTTATTTCCTGTTTTATAAATTTTCCTATGATATGCATGCACTTAGTGAACTTTTACAAATGAAAATCAAATAATTTAGATAAAAAAAATACAAAATTTGTCAATGGATTAATTTCGTCCTGATATATATCTTAGCATGTCTTTTGATTAATTCATTACTATTACTATCATTTTTAACAGTTTATTTTTTCCGACTGTTGTCCGGCTCTAAATTTAGACAATTGATATGATGTTTATACAAAAACCAAAAGGAGCTCCGAATGTGTAAACCCTACTTTCGCTTTACGGACCACATGTTTATTTTTTAACTGTGAACGAGATGTCTGTTGTTATCCAAAACCTTCAGAGGTCAGTCAGATTAGACCTGAGACGTATGGAGAGAGACGTCCGTTATTTGCGACGCTTGATGGAGTTGACCAGCTTCCATCTGGGTATCCAATGCGTTGAAAACGATTACATAGCAGAGGCGAATCTGACTTACAGAGGAGTCGAAGGAACAACCGATGTTTTAGCTTTCCCACTTATCGAGGTAAGTACGTGGTTATAACTGGGTTGTACATAAACGTTACAATATATATATATATATAGGATTACATTGAATATTTGTATTGGTTTACATGCGAATCTCTAACTGGAGTACATGAAAATCCGCGTGTTCCAAATGACACACTACCGTAGCAATGCCAAGGAACGTAGAGTGTGTACACAAATACTGTAAGTGGCAGTCAGTGTGACAGTATTTATAGCAGAAAGGATTATATTGAATACGTCCAGATTTGATTATACAATACTAGTTAATAAATGCTTTTTAAAAAAACATCATCGATGAATCTATTTCAATCATAAATTCTTATCATCGATTTTATCTTGTACTTGTTTAGAAAGAACTTCAGAATTGCGAAATGACAATATCAAAATATTAAAAAAAAAAATGAATTTAGAAATATAATTTACGAAACCTTAAAGATCGTTTTATTAACTTAACTGTATTTTCAATATTCCCGAAGGCTAAACTCTTACAAGTTATTAGTTCTCACATAGATATGTACATATATATGTATTGGGGAACGCACGGGTATAAATCAGAAGATCTTTGGACATATGGCGATGTACATGAGTGCATTTGATGTGTATTTTACATATTGCAGCGTTAGATATTCTATATTCGCAGGATATGGAGCCGGGAAAACCTTTGCCCGAGATCACTGACCCGGATAGTAGAATATTGGGTGACCTGATGTTGGGAATCCCTTATATACACGAACACGCCGTGTTTCACGGGGAACAATTGGAGGAGACACTAAATGTAAGATGTATGTTAGTTAGTAGGCGTAAAATATGGAAGTATCATATTTTGTGTTTTGACCGACCAACCTGGTTAAGATTAGATAACACTATAACAGGATATCAGATAATATATATAGTAAAATGGATGTAGCCATTATGGATGAGAAAAATATACACTTATTTACATGGCGCTCAAAAAATGATGCTCATGCAAACAAGAGTTTTGAACACTTTAGTGAACGCTTGGAATTATATCCTAAACATAAGTTTTTACACGTGATGGGTTGTTAATTATGTACCTTTATTCTAAGACAAATGACGTATGAAATTGAGAAAAGATATTATCGAAACATTAATATTTTAGATACTAAATCTGAATTTAATGGAGTGTTGTGTTTTACACGTAGGTGATGATTCTTCATGGAATGTGTCATTTGATTGGCTACGACCATGAGACGAAGGACCAATGGGAACAGATGTACAATAAAGAGTTAAAGATCCTTGAGCGGTTCAACAAAAGAACAGGATATAGCTGCAAACCTCTTTTAGGGGTAGGGCATGGATGAAACATTGAGACATTCACTGTCATTTGTAACCACCATTTTCTGTTCACGGGAGACTGGAAACAATATTGTTCCTGAACATTTGAAATATGTTCAATTTTAGTGGTGCACAAAAACGGAATGAATGATTAAACCAATGAAGTTTGATGTAATTTCAACCAATAGAGTGTCGTCAACAACCAAGCCAAGACATGAAAGATAGGATGCAAATATTATACATAGCCTATTGCATTCAAGGTTGACTGCTCAGGCCAATAGTTTGAAATTGTCAAATGGCGCAAAGCTTCGGAACACTTCTGCCTTTATCTTATCTAAATGTTGACGGTGTCGGTAATTGTTAAATTATTAATGAAGTGATTCCATGGAGTGATATTTCTGATATTTTCCATGTTATAGTATTTCTGGAAACGAACAATATTTCAATAGGCTGTTGACAAATAACCCCATAAAATCCAGCAAAGCTAATTCAAACGTACTGTCAAAGGAATACAGACCATGAACATGTACTAGCAAATCATATGCTAGACCTTGTTGCATGCCTTCATCATGATCATTATAAATTTATATCATTTTTATTTTCTTGATTTCTTGACAAATATATCATTAAAATACTTTGATGCAGTTTTGAGAAACTGTTTCGTTCACATTTATTGTCACTTATTGGCACTGTTAACAAAAACCCTGTCGCGTCTCAATGTCATTTTCTTGTTGTATTTGATGTTGTAAGGCACGGTTTATGTTTTGATAACAATACTCTTTCCAAGAATAAGAAATGTGTTTTTTATGAGGAGAGAGACGATTGTTTTGTACATGAAATGAACATTTAAAATACGCATTTGTTTTTACTGATGCAAGTCCAAACGTGTCATAAAAAGTCAAGATAAAATTGATACCTCTACCTTCATCGTTTATGTTATCCTTTGTTGTTGCAAACCAAATAAGCAAATAAATAAACACATATCTAAAAACGAAAAGAAGAAATGCTTCAGTTTAAGCGAATCTACAAAACTCTGTTGATAAAATGCTATCCCAAAATATCCCTACAAAGATAAGTTACAACAGATAATAAAAACTACAAGAAATATGTATTTATAATCTATGAATTCTCGATTTAATGCCATGAAGCAGGTACTGTAAATCTTTATATTTGGCGAATACGCAAATGATGGACTATTAGATATATATCAGTAACCGGGTTGTCAGATATATATGTACATAATTTCAAGGGATTTGAATTCGCGATTGACTCTCCTCGAGTATTAACCCGAAAATAAATCCAAAGCCAAATTAAGTGATTTACAGCAGCAAACATTTCGCATTAAGTCCGTAAGCAAATCAAGAAAACTACCGACATTTTAACAAAACCATAACCCAAACTCAAATTAGATAAAACATGGACAGAGTATGAATCTAGGTGTGCCGGAAGAGTAAGTGTCTTCTACTTCACCGGCGACAAACATAAATTATATCAAACTTAGCATGTCACAAAGAAATAGAACATTTCACAATGAGATCATTAGCATACACAGGTATAACTTTAAAAGTATAGATATAACATGTAATTTAACAAGGAAACAGATTTATATCACCATAGAAACGAAAACCCGGTGAGTATAGACTTAATCCTTCATACATGTATATCAGCTTAATCCCTACGTATAAAACCCCATATCTCATTGCCTCATTATTCGCTGTCATTGTGCCCGCTGTTGCCTTGTATTTCAGATTTATAACATATGATACCATTTAATCTGTCTGACCCCGGTAATTCAAAGGCAGGTTAGAAATATCCATTGTAAGCGAAAATGTTCTAAGACAAATGAAACGAAATTGGGGGACATTCTTTATGATTTGACATATCAGATTGTTTCAGTGGCAACAGTTTTTCACAAACTGCTTGATCAACTGTTATTAACCTGATGTATTCGATGTCAATCCTAGTATGATATGCTTAATAATAATCAAGATATTATTGTCACGGAAGTAATTCATTTTCTATGTTTTCAGGCTCAAAATCTGATTCATTATGTGACATAACTTGTTGCTCATTCGCATATTCATGTCATTGGTTTATTTTTGGATTTATTGATGGCATGTCGGAAATGTTTACGGTTTAAGAAATTTTAACAATAAAAATAGAGATTTGTTAATAAAATCTTAATTTAGATAAAAAAAAAACAAAACAAAAAACAAAAAAAAAAAAAAAAAAACCCCAAAAAAACAAAAAACGATGAAACAAAGTAGAAACAAAAGAAACATTTATACGGGATTTATTGAAAAAGTCGAGGAATATAAGACCAGGTGTTCATGAAGGCTAAGTGTCTTCTGCTTTATCGGGACGAACAGCGATGCATTTTTGGCCTATCCACGTAATTAATGTCAAGTTCTCAAATTTGGACAAGGTTGATCAGAATGGAATAATTAATCTGGCAAACTAATGAGCTTAGAAAATATTGTACAAAAGACAGACAAGTGAATAGCAACTGTTTGATTTAAACGTATTTTATTGCACACGCGTAGCAATAGGATTGGATACAGCTTATATAAAGCCCTTTCCAAACATATTAATACACACACATTACATATAATGTATAAGATATAAGAACAATGAATCAATTACAAGTTACAAGAGAGAGAGAGAGAGAGAGAGAGAGAGAGAGAGAGAGAGAGAGAGAGAGAGAGAGAGAGAGAGAGAGAGAATGTGGGGGTTGTATAACACGAGCTTTATACTTTGTATATATGTAGATCATGCATCTGCTCCTTTTCTATCCAAGAAGAGAAATAGGCGATACACTGTCCACATGCCTAAACTCACAACTTGTCAAAACCTGTTCCAAGCCAAACAGTGATCTAGAGGTAATTACGATTCTGAATCATGTAAGTAATCTGACTTTTCTGAGTTCATACACTGCAAAAGTTTATCAGAGTGGTTTTCCTGAACTGTCTCTCATGGTAGGCACTAATAAAATAAACTGTAAAATAAATAAAGATATAACTTAAATAGATAAAAAAATAAAGTAATGAGTTTGCAAGGTAGAGTCAAGAACTGTGATAGTTACACAACGCTAACGCTGAAACACGTTGGAAAAAGTCGTGATCGGGCTGATGATAAACACCATCGTATAGAGAAATACGAGCGCACTAATGTGAACATGTGGAATCATGTGGTGCCTTGACATATCGAATTGGACCGCTTGTGTAACCTTTAAGTGATACTGTAACACGGTACACAACGCTAAGCAGAGGCGTGAAATGGCGGATTAAGACCGAAAAGCGCTGTATCCCGTGGCTGCCCGCGTGATGATGCTGCTGTCCTCCGGGTACATATATTGTAATGGTTCCTGTTGCTGCACAGTTGATTCTCAAACGACAATGGAACACACAAAGAGAGTACTTACTGCGGTTGTCTTGGTTGTCCTCAGTGTAACACTCGTCTTTGGTAAGTCATGTTTTTTATCATTCCATATTTATAAACAAACAAATGAGAACAGACATACATCCAGCACAGTACAAACCATTAGAAGGGAAATGCTAAGTGGTTTTCCGTGTAAAACGACAGTACCGAAAGAATCCAGTCGGTCATTAGATGAACAGTCAGTTACCATTGTTTGTAAAAGAACACATTGCAAACGTTTTCTAAATTCAAAATGTGTTTGCAAGTAATACATCAATCAGAATTTGAATTATAAAATGCATGCTATATGTTACGTTTGAAATTGCAAACATGGTATATGGCGACAACAAACTATTCCGTGAAAATCATAAATGTGATCTAAGTTATGCACAGAAGGCACGAAAGGAAGTTTGGTAATTAAAACGATATTTGTCGAGGAACTCAATGCGTACTGAGGTAGAAATTTAGATATGGTGTTACTAAGAGAAGTAAGGGTGTACTGACTCCTTAACGATCCGTCTGGCTTTAATTATGTTGTCCTTTTCTTGAAAGCATGATTTTATCCATTGATAGTAGTAATATAAATCAAATGTCGACGTATTGGTGGTGTTGTATATGTTATATATATAATTTGACGAGGCCGATAAAAAAATGATGTGGATAAAGCTATGTTTGATATCGGAAATGGAGACACGATTAATCGAATGAATAAATGAAGAAATAAATCACCATCATGGCAAGTTGTAATGAAATGGACAAAGGTACGTTTTCTATTGCAAATGGATATACGAAATAGATATATAGATAAATAAATAAATAGATATAGATCACCATCATAGGCAAGTTGTAATGAAATGGACAAAGGTTTCTATTTCAAATGGATATACGATTAATGGAATAAGATTCAATAAATAATTAAATACAAATCGTCGTCATATGAAATTTGAACATTTTCATTATATTTGAAATATTAAAATGTGTTATTTCGTTGGTAACCATTGCTTTCGAATTTTTAATCCCCGAGGTTTGCCGCAATTTGGATGTTGCATTTTAATACATACACATGGAGTCGGCTTTAGTTGGAAAACATTCAACAGTAAATTATATTGAATTTAGGGGCTTTTGAACTTTCCCATCGGGTTTTGACAAGTTTTTTCGACAAATTTGATTTTCCTGTCACCTCCTTTGTTTTACCCTTCAAGCCCTTAGCATCACTGGCGAGTCCCTAGAAGGACGAAACAGATGAGTCTACTGTAATTTATTCTTAATGTGTAATGCTTGTACTGTTCAGTTGTGTGTCTTGGATGTAATCAATAAGAGCCGACACCCTACACTTTACTTGGATATGAACACTTGCCTCTATTTAACCCACCCAAACCCTGAAAGAATCACCTTCGACCAGAAATCTAACACTTTCTTTACACTTTGTATTATACAAACCCACATATCTCTCTATAACTTATCGGTATTCTTTAGTGAGGAAAATAATCATCTATATTAATGTAATAGATGATATTTTCAAAATATATCTTATGTACATACATATGTTATGTACTCGAACAAAGGGAGTAGCTTGTGAGAGGATGTTATGTACTCGACAAAAAGGGAATAACTTGTGAGGGGATATTATGTACTCGACAGAAGGGAACACTTGTGAGAGTATGTTATGTACTCGACAGAAGGGAATAACTTGTGAGATGAGGTTATGCACTTGACAAAAGGGAGCAGCTCGTGAGAGTATGTTATTTACTCGACAGAAGGGAATAACCTGTGAGGGAATATTATGTACTCGACAGAAGGGAACACTTGTGAGAGTATGTTATGAACTCGACAGAAGAGAATAACTTGTGAGAGGGGGTTATGTACTCGACAGAAGGGAGTAGCTCGTGAGAGTATGTTATTTACTCGACAGAAGGGAATAACTTGTGAGAGGATGTTATGTACTCGACAGAAGGGAATATCTTGTGAGATGAGGTTATGTACTCGACAAAAGGGAGTAGCTCGTGAGAGTATGTTATTTACTCGACAGAAGGGAATACTTGTGAGAGGGGATTATATACTCGACAGAGGGGAATAGCTTGTGAGATGAGGTTATGCACTCGACAAGAGGGAGAAACACGTGAGAGGATGTTATGAACTCGATAGAAGGAAGTAAGTGGTGAGAGGATATTGGTATATACACCACATGTACCTAGGAAGATGATGTTTTTATGTACTCGACAGAAATCAGTAGCTTCTGAAAGAATATTGTTACTTATTCGAGAGAAAGATGTAGCTAGTGGGTGAATATTGTTTTGTACGCTACAGAAGGAAGTTCAATATTGCTATTTTGGGATAATCAAGAAAGTCATACTGTTTTGGTTTCATGTAATTTTATTCTTTCAGGTACGAGCCAAAACGATGCGACAGACAACAATGACATCACTACAGTAAGCCCTAGTCCAGCCTCGTTCTTAGATACCTTATTGAATTCACTGACGGGATACCGTATCTCTGGTATATCGTCAAAAACATGCAAACAGATTGGAGGGATGTATATAACAGCCAACTGCATTATCATAGCACGTATGTTTTCCAGATGAATGTTGTCGAGGTGTTGGAAGTAAATGATGTTCCCCGTTATACAAATCCATACACTAAAGAGAAAAGCATGGACTAACACAAATATTGCCACTCGACTCATCGATAAAACTCTATATCTAAACATGGAAACACAAATATCTAATGGTTCATCATAGCATATTTCATGTTCATGAAATGCTAGAACACTTGGTTTTCAAAAAATATATGCTGTACTTTACATTTTTAAATGAAAATTGCCTCATGAATATCGTAACATTTTTTTCATTATTTGTAGTCTGATTTCAAATTAATTTGATAGAACGGTACATATGTTCTTTGTCCTGTTAATCTGTTTCATCTCTTCCAGCAGCGTCTCCTGACATGAAGACAGGAACTTTTATCAATAAATACATTGGCGGTTAGTGTAAGTGAACCGTGAACAACTAACGACGGGCAGCGGTTGATGTAACAGAACTATGGGCCATGGACGGCGGTTGTTGTGCAATGGACGATATGGTTTTTTTCTTTTGCAATGCTTTGCACTTTCATATATTTGATTCACAAATAAAAAATGTGTATCAAACGCGTTATCTGATGTTTCTTACCATGACGTCATCAGGAACAAATCGCCAGTTGGTGTAGTATTTTGACCGATGATATTTTCTAGTATTCAATTTCTAATTTATTTGGGTAAAACAAGCACAAACTATCTAGAACATTTTCATCCTTATATTCGTTTGGCCAAACGTTAGGGCCATGTCTTAGATTGGGCTTTATTTTGTTCTAAGTATTAACGAAAAAGATTCTATGACAACCCAACAGGATTTATAGGAGTGTTTTTAGCATCTAACGAAAGTATGCACAGTCGATAGGAAAAGATATACATAGAACAAAAAGTGTTATATCATTTTAAAAGGACGTGCACAAACAAAAAGCATTCTAAAAATCTAGAATTATGTTTCACTGTCTCGTATAAATCGATACTTGTTCAAGAAGATGAACTAATTAAAGAGTTCTATTGGGTATCACAAGTAAACATTTGATAAAGCCACTATGCTTCGCTCAGATGTTTTTTGAAGAAACCTCTGACAATCATGAATCAATGTAGCCCATGATTTCCCAGGTGTTTGGCACTTTGGAACCCATGCATTTACCTTTTGTCAGAGATAGCCCCACATTTGATCGACTGGCTTCATACCTTGTCATTACGCCCGGTTTAGACCCTGCACTAAACGAGAAACGACAAATGGCTGACATTAAAACTTAAAAACAGATAAAAATTATTTACCTGTCTCATATTAGCCTGAACCATTCCAGAAGCTTGTCATCTTCCATCCTGTCTATTTTTGACAGTATGAAAACGTTGGGTGAATTGCTTGGTGGAACACGGCACTAAACACAAAAAAGAGACATAGCAACACAACAAAATAACATGAAAAATGTTGACACGTCACCAAACCAGAATATGTATAAGTACTTAGGATATGACCAAATACTTGTAGATACATACTCTGAAATAAAAAATACTCTAAAATTACGTATGTTTTAGATGCTGATTTCTTTTCTCAAACATCATTATTTCGCAGACACTTGATTTCGTGGTTACATATAGGTCAACACATCTACTTATACTTAGGAATAAAACGCGCAAAGGGGAAATTCTGTTTTGGATTGAAGTATTGTAAAGTGAACTGAAATAAAATGTTAACACTTGTTTTATTAGTATAACGGGAGTGTCACCTACACTTATATCCCACTAAAGTGAAATTTCAACTTTCAAAATGGCCATCATGTTCCCTGATATCTACAAAAAAATAATATTCGTTATTAACATATTTGTCAATATTCTAACAAGAAAGATAAATGATAGATTTAAGTTGGTTTATACATTCATCTACGTAATCTTTAATCCAGTTGTGAGTGCCGATAGTTTCAAATTTCGTAGTCACCATCGTCATTGAAATGCTGACTTAAGTAGTCAGCTGCCAATGATATTTGGTAGATGCCATATGATATTGTCCGAAGGTATTCCTTGTCTAACTTTGGAAAGTCACATTGATCCGCAGTAGCATCTAGTTTGACAAATAGTGACTTCGCCCTTCTGGTAGGATGTGGTCCATTTATCAGAAGTTGTTGGGAATAATAAGGAGCTCTTTCATTTTGGCAGCCAGCGCCCTATCCTTTGCGTCTCTCTCTTATGTTCTAACATACATGGGTCCTCGGATATCTATTGAGACGAGGTGTTACTATCCTAAGGAGTACTTCGATGACAGTAGTGTTTTGAAAAACGGCTTTTGAATTTTGAATCGTCAGTGATATGACTTTGGATTTGGTTATAGATCTATCAATGTTGCGTCTGCCCACATTTCCGATAAGACGGCATATTTGTTGTCAAACCAAGTGATTTTGCTCCAGAATATTTGCTCTAGTAAGATGTTCACATCCAAGGATCAAAGGAAAAATGGCTATTTCTAATACTTTTACCATGAGAATGAAATGCTTTTGATATACTAGAAATTGACATGTTGAATTCTGTTTCCATGACATCTCCGTCTTCTTTTTTACTCAAAACAACAGTAGTGCATCATCCAAGTTTGGAGTGTAAATACCATTGCCAATAGTGGATGAACAGTAAGAAAGAATTTTAAGAAACTGTGTTCTTGTCCAAACTGTCCAGGCTTTACAATCTGCATCATCCAGTGAGAACGCAGAGAAAATAAACGGACCATCTTTGATGGCATATGTGATATCTCCAAAGATCACTGATGATTTCCTTTGATTTGTAAGGTAGGTGGGAAGTCAATATTTCTTTTTAACCAGTGCTAATTTCAACGTTATTGTTAAGATGTTTCCCTATCGGATGATGTGAACAAATAGAAAGTACCAAGGAAAAGCGCTTGGGCAATATGATATGCATTTTTCTTGGGAACGTAATGTAAAAAAGAGAGAGAGAGAGAGAGAGAGAGAGAGAGAGAGAGAGAGAGAGAGAGAGAGAGAGAGAGAGAGAGAGAGAGAGAGAGAGAGAGAGGAAATCGTTAGTCATTGTAATCGCTTATGAACTTTTAATTCAAAGAGTAGATTTCCAACATAATACGCTATTTATCAATATAAACTTGTCACATATTGTAAAAGTATTATGCAACGGTGAACATATCTTTACATGTACATATAGCCGTGCAATCCTGAAATCGTCTTGCAAACTCATGAGTCTCCTTGCAGATGTATATATAAATATTGTTTGTTCATGTTTTGTCCTAGTTTTATGGAATTTGAGTTTGGATGAGGATTATGTTGCAACATTGGTATTTTCTTAATTTTTTTTTTAAACAAAAATTTACCTTAGTGTTTTTTGACATTGCTGATATGGGCCATTGCAGTGATGTCGTTTTTTTTCTTGTTGTGAAATAGTGGCAATAGTTCGAGATTTATACTGAACGTATGATGCAGTTAAAAGCAAATTGTACATTTAGTGTCAAAAGGGAAACAACTGCTATACAGCCCGATAAGAAATTTAGGTACCCGGATGTTTATGTTTCAGTGCCTTGTTAGCTAGACATGTTGGCACATGTATGTAAGTATAAAACTGACATTTTAAGTTAGAATTTTCTATCATTAACTTTATAATGTTATTTTATTTCTAAATACTTTATTCAGACTGTAAATAAATGTAATCGTTTTAATTTATATCATTGAACATTATCGGACATTCTAGACCTATACAAACCGAAAATAGCACATACACCATATACATGTCTTTTCCGTGTCAAATTTATCATATTGTTATAACGCAAAAGTTTCTGAACGACATAATACATATTTTGTTTTCTATATAGACAAGCGATTAATACATGTGTTTTACTTGATATAATTGAGCAATTGAAGTCGTATATAGTAGCTCTATGCAAAACGAAACTAGTGCACACATACGTATACGTGTACCTTATACAGGTATATAGTTATATATGTACCATGTGTACATGTATATATATTTATATATTTACCTTGTACAGTATATATTTATATATGTACCATTTATAAATGATAAACAACTAGAATGGTCACAGAAGTACAACCTTGTTACCAATGCCCACTTCGGGTTTAAGCCAGGTTTTGGTACAAATGATGCTACTTTTGCTTTACATGGTGTAATTAAGAAAATGCTTTCTAAAAATTGTACATTTTACTGCTGTTTTGTTGACTATCATAAAATGAAATATTGGCTGAAATTAATTAAATGTGATGATGATGTCCTTAAGTCAATTTACGAAGAAATAGATGAACGTAACCACAAAAACAGTAATTGGCTTTATAAGGTTAAGAAACTGTTGTTGGTAACGTCTGGATAACTCATTATGTTGATAATAAACAGGTATTTTTACGTTGTTTTAAGCAGCATTTGGTGAATAGTTTTACTTAAGTAAGGAATGGTTTTGTTGAGTGATTGTCAAAATGCTATTTGTCTAAACTCCTGAAAGGCAGTTTTTTCCATTACAATTACTTTTACAAAGTCTATCCAAGATATCTGATGTGTTTCGGGAATGTAGCTATGAAAGACCAAACCATTGAAAACATATTTAAAAGAATAAGATACTCGTGTTGTTAATATATGTATTGTACTAGCAACAGTGCTTCCCTTTAAAGGTATATAGTGCGTTCTGACGTAAAATACCAATCCTGCGATGATGGCTCGACGTGGTGGTGATCATTTGGTGGTGGCCGCCATAGACTTTGGAACTACCTACTCTGGATACGCTTACTCCTTTAGAGACGATATCCGTAAAACTCCATTAAAAATCTACACAAACCAACAGTGGACTGATCCGGAAACCAACCTGACGACATTTAAAAGTACACTAAAATACATAATTTCTATATACATATGTGAAACATTCTGCTCGCTATGTTTCATACGTCATAGATTTTTGACCAATTACTTTTGTGTATAAAACTTTCTAGTGCTTGAGTCTTATTCTTTTGTTGAACCTTTAATTCGAATTCTCTTTGAAATGTATGAAATGTATTAATTCTTTGGCCTGTAACGAAAACGAGTATTTTAAAAGATGAAATGAAACCAGAGTTTCCTGAAAATTCAGGTTTACATAAATAAGAATGCACTTCTCTTTACACCATTCATCCTCGTTACTCAAAGGGTTTCGATCGCTTTCACTCTCTGCACTCCTGAAACATGTTATAGCAAAATTGAAGGCACAAGCGAAATAATTTGATTGGTTCCAGGAATAAAAAGCTGACCAAACACAGGCTAATATGCTCCGTTTTAAGATTACAACGGAGCGACACCCAACTTCAAAGCAATTACAATATACAGTTATGCGACCTTGATGTACATCAAAGGATCAAGCAAATCTTTTCGTTTTATCCTCAAAAAAAGGTGTACACCTTCCGACCAACAAGAATATCATTCTCACTCGTCCTTTTATTTTCCGTCCGTTTTGTATATATGTATGTATATATATCATAATCCTTATTCGAACTTTTGAAACAGACATCGCGTAATTTGTACAGATGATCAAAACATATTCTGAGACTGAACAGATTTATAACTGTAGAAGTGTTTACCGTATGTTTCCCAATGTAAACTTTCGAAATAATTTCTATTCAAAGCTCCAACATCGATCTTGTTTGACAACAACAGAAAATTCAAGTCATTTGGATTCGCCGCGGAATCAGATTACAAAGACTTAATTGAAGATGAAGAACAAGAAGGTTGGCGTTTCTTTAGAAGATTCAAAATGAGTCTTTATCGTGAGATGAAAACAGACCAGGCCGGCGGTGAGGTAAATACGTGTACTACGTTGCTCTCTAGATCTTAAATTTGTAGTTGGTATTGAAGACTTAAACTCCATTTAGAAATGATTCTAAAGGAAATACTTTGCACTTCTAAAGAACGATACAATTTTTAATACACCATTGTTTTATTTCTATTTCAGTACGGACGTCCCCAGAGACGATTAGGCCGAAACCTGAAACTCAAAGACGCACAAGATAAAAGAATGTCAGCTATGGATATCTTCAGTGCTGCTATAGGTTTCCTTAAAGGCCATTTTCTCTCGGCGTTAGAAAATTCTATTAAGGGTGCTAAAGAAGAGGATGTTCATTGGGTATTGACTGTGCCAGCAATCTGGTCTGATGCAGCAAAGCAATTCATGCGGGAAGCTGCAAAACAGGTGATCAAATATTGATAATATTTAAGTAAACATCCGTGCCAATAAAATCTGAAAGGCACTGATCAGCGACAAATGTATACACACAGGAAATTAAAGAACATTTGATATGAAATTATGAAAGAAAGTTGCTTAGAATGGAACCCATGTAACGACAATTAGTTGTTTATATACATGTGCAGTTCATACATATATAATTTAACCAGCTGTCCAGGGACGGCATTTTTATGTATTTGTTATTTTTGACCAACATACACACACATACACACACCACCACCATCCACTATCCACCTACCACCTATTTATACTATTTCCATTAGGATTTTTCAAGGAAATATGGTAGAAAATATACATTTTATATCAAACATGAAATTATGCCTGATCTCTTTTTCTCCATTGGCACGTCACAATGCTATAATTGAATGTGTGAAGCCAATTCATTGTCTAAAGTGAGGTCGCAATAAGCTATATTACACATGTGTGATACTACAAATATTACATGGGAATACTCAGTGAGTAACAAGGTAATCATGTGATACATGTAAATATGAAATAAGTGGTAACAATAGACACGTGCTATGAATGGTAGATGGTATATGTTACTCATTCTATTCCTTTTGAAATAGATTTGATGGTGTGATATCAATTATGAATATTTAAATACTATCTTGTATTTTAAAATTGTTTCTCCTAGTCATCATATCAATCAATCTCAATTATGAGTATACATATCTACATTGTTGTATTTTGCCAGGCCCATATCCTTGATCATCAACTGACCTTGGCATTAGAACCAGAAGCTGCCGCCATCTATTGTAAGGAAATTTTCATAAAGACAACAGCAGAGACTGGAAGCTCCAAAGGCTTATCGGTATTTACACCGGGGGAACAGTTCCTTCTATTGGATATTGGAGGTGAACTATGTTATTTATTTTATTTCATAGTCCTTGTCGCTTTCTTTTAAAACCACTTTACACATAACAATCGTTCAGAACAGTACAGAAGAATAAGGTTAGAAGCTGAAAACCTAGACAAGTTCGTTTCATCCCCAAAATCGTAGTAGTATTTAGTATAATCTCTCTTCGTTAATTCTGTTCATGGTTTTTGTTTCTATTTTGTGTTATAATTAGTTTGAGGACAAAGTAATATACAATAGATAGTTTTGGTGTAGTGTAACACGAATGTACGACATAGTGCAATACAATGTTTTATAGGCGGTACAGTCGACATCACATGTCATGAAGTTATGATCGACGGTACTCTGAAGGAAATACATCCACCAACCGGAGGGCCATGGGGTGGAACCGTTGTAGACAAAGCCTACTTCGACTTCTTGCAGGATTTAGTTGGGGAGGATGTATGGATGTATTTCATGAAAGAATACCAATCTGATGAACTTGAACTTGAGAGAATGTTTGAAATGAAAAAAAGGCATCTTAAAGAGGATGCACATACAATCATTAGAGTAGGACTTAACCTCATGCAAAGCTACACTAACGTACGGAACTGTAGTCTTGAAGAGATGCTGTCTGCGGAAACATCGAAATATTTCGGGAAAGTACAAGTTAAGAAAGAGAAGCTGAAAATTCAGAACAGTTTAATCAAAGAATTCTTCCTAGATCCAATTAACGCGATTGTTGAACATCTTGAGCGTCTTTTCAGAAAGAGATCTATGGATCATGTTTCTACTATCTTAATGGTTGGTGGCTTTGCCGAGTCAGAACTCATGAAACAAAAAATTGAGTCATCTTTCCCAGGTAAGGATGTCATCCGTCCGGTTGACGCAAACCTGGCTGTGCTGAAGGGAGCGGTGCTGTTTGGACATTCCCCAGGGGCTATTTGTGAGCGGGCAAGTCCGAGGACATATGGAATCGGTATAAGTGTACCATTCAATGATGGGGTGCACTTACCGAAGACTTTCCATATCACTGAAGGACGGAAAATGTCCACCGATATTTTTCAAGTATTGGTGAAAATCGGCCAACCAGTCATAATGGGAAAGACCAAAGTAGAGCATGTATGCAGTCCGTCCAATTCCAATGATACCATGGCTACAGTGGAAGTGTATGAATCCACGGTAGAAAGTCCAAGATATACATTTGATCCTACTTGTCGCAAGTTAGGAGAGTTACATGTGAAAATACCGGACACGTCCAGAGGAAAAGCCCGAAAGATTGTTGTGGTGATGCATTTTGGTTTTACGGAACTTAAAGTTACAGCGACGGAGGAAGGTACAAACAACAAAGCCGAGATTAAGTTTGATTGCCTGAGTACAAGTTGAGGCCGTAATAACTTGTGTATCGCATAATCCGACCGTAATTTTGTGCTTTCGCCCATTTGATGTTTTGCTTAGTCGTTAGTAGTGTCATATATACATCTTAGTAGCGCTTTTATTTGACTGCATCACCGTAAGTTTCAGAGTAGCAAAATCCCATCATTTTCACGGCATAAATATACGTGTACGCAACTGTTAAATGTAAAGCATACGTCCACAGCCTTCCATTGCTGCGGGATATTTTCAACATTTCTTCTAAATGATGAACATCGGGTAGGTTTTCCCCTGTTGAAACGAAACATGGAAGATAGCGATCTTGACCTTTAGCAATTCAAACCCACAACCGAGAGTTATCGGGCTTTGTAGAACATGAAGAGTTTAGGAAGAAAACGTTTAAAGCTTCACAAATACAAACATTATAACTAGAAACTAAGACGATATACAAAATTCAATTTTATGGAAGAATGACGATATTACCTTTAACTTGTAAATAACATGAAAATTGAAGATTGGAAATTGTTATTTGATCAAAATAGTTCGATTTTGTTATTATTTCATAAAAGTAGATTATTTTTAGTTTAGGCGATTATCTGATAGACACATTTTACTTATCGCTAGAAAATGAATTTGAAAACATTGCCAAATATCCATAAATTGACACATATATAAGTTACTAATGGTGATGTATTTGAATTCATTTATTTTGATTCAACTTATGGAATTAGATAGGATGCTTGAATATTTTGGAAGAGATAGTGATCCCAATCAAAATGCCTGTGTGGAAACAGAACCTACTGCCTCTAGTGATGAGAAAATAAAACTGAAGCACAGCTAACTGAAACTGCTGGTGATAATTCCCCAAATCATGAAATGTTTGATAATTCAAATGAAATTACAGTGAATGATAATGATAGTGACCCTGACGACTTATTCTTCATGTGTTTGGAAACAAAGGGTGTCCATAAAACGGGAAAAAACTAAAAACAACCCCCCCCCCCAAAAAAAAAAAAAAAAAAAAAAAAAAAAAAAAAACAACATCTAGGACAATTTGACTGGAAATTTACTTTTCAGCCTCTGCCGCTTTCACTCCTTGTGTCAATAACTCATCCAACTGAGTACGGAGCACACCTTTCTTATAAGAAGGTAACCTGTATGGTTTCTGCTGTTTACTTACAAAGTTTTACTGAAGTTGGATTTCATGCTCAACTAATGTGGTTTACTTGAAATGATTTGTTGTTGGGTGTGGTAAATTAACGTTTGAATATAATCGTTGATTTACTTTATTTTTCTTAACATCCGACAAATAAGTTCCAATATTAAAAGTTGAAAAAAGGGTTCCCCGATTCATCCAGTACTTTGAAAACTTTGACATGACTCCGCAATTTCAGTGATTTCAGATTATGATATTGTCAATGCTTTCGATGTTTTACATAAGGTAATATCATTGCACGTAGTTCCATTTGGCAATGTTGATAAAGGTATCGTGGTATGAGAGGCATCAAACATTGCAAAATCAGTCAACAATGTGCCTTTTTAGACATTGACAGGTGCATTAGTAGGATGAAATAATATCAGGAAAGCAACTGGAGTGTGAGGCACAGTTAAGACTGATTTATCAACCGGTAGATCTTCATTTAGTAATCCCTGCAATACCTTGCACACCACCATATACATGCTTTGACTTATTTACCTTGACCAGTGACCTCGGCATTTGGAGGTACAGTCAAAGATAGCATACATTTAACCTTGACCTTTACCGCCATACCACTGACAGAATGTTACATTAAACATCTTGACATCATCATATAATCAGTGCCTACATCAAAAGGGTGAGATGCATATTTGATAAAAGTACATGAAAAAAATGCCTACCACTTGGGATGTAACCTTTGACCTTGGTAGTACCACTGACCTTGGCATATTGGCTATTAACTACTGAAAAGATCTTTGATACATTTATTGTTACATTTCTTAGTAGTAGTATGTAAAAACATTCTACACTCGTATACTGCGATACGGGAGCCAGAATCGTACAAGGCTGCTACTTTGATGGAGCGAAAATCGATGGGGTAATACATAAGTCACACTTTCTTCAGTTAATAGGAAAATCAATAATGCCCTTTCTGTTTTGAAAATATACATCTCTCTCAAACTTTTAGATAAGACTACAATAGCTATAATGTTTTGGCAGCCGCTTTGTGTTTACCGCATATCAAGCAACCTGCATAATGTAATATGATTGAACTAATAAACCTATAAATATAATATGTTATTACGCCAGCTTAGAAAAAATTCTAGTAACTTAAACTCTGATTTATTTAATGACCATTTGCTTGACACTTCAACATGTATATGTAGTCATGAAACTGAAAATGCTTAGCACTACCTACTTGAATGCAAATTATACACTGACTATAGAAACCGGTTAATTCAAAATATAGCTGAAATAGACATACACCTAGATCATGACCACTTAAACATTGAAACCCTTTTGAATGGTTATAAGGTATGTAATGCTGACATCAATTTAGCCTTACTTCATATAGTATTTGAGTATTTCCATCTTACTAATAGAGTAAATGTATAATTTCTCCATTTAATTTAATCTTTCTCCATTTAGTCTTTATCTACGGATCACTGAAATAATACCTGATGTATGTAAATCAGCAATATCAAGCGCTTTAATAGCATTTCTGACGAAAATTGATGAGCATTTTGAAAGTATTTTTTGAATGTATTCTTTAAATTCATGATTACTACTTATACTTCTGTAGCAGTAACTAATTTGTTAACTTATTATATACTATGTTAAGAGGATCAACTCCAATGTAGATGAAAAAAACTGAAATACCATTTTATAAACCTCCCAAACTTAACCATGATCTTACCTATCAACATAGTAAATGCAGAATTGTTGATAAGTTATTATGCATATACACATGGACTTTATGACCTGAATTCCTGGATTCTTGCATGGTAAATTATCAGTAAACCTGTATTTTTTCAACTTATTTATAATCCTATGAAAAATAATTTGACATAATGAACTACATCACGTTCCACAATAAATTGGAGTTACCTCCCTTTACCTGGTATATTTTAATCTAATATTTACAATATTTTACTCACTGGATTTTCTTGCAGATAAATATAATGTATTTAAGTATTAATTCTGGAAAGGACTGATATAGGCTCAGCCTGTTGTCCAATCCGTTTAACATATGGAATGTTAATAAAATTTTGTTGAAATTGAAATAAATCTGTGCCTATCTGTGTCCATAAATGACAACAAGAAGATACGATAGGAAATAATTGCATACTAGGATCTGCGGACAAAATTTGTTCTGAGGGTGACATTTTTTGAGCAACTTAAGCGTAATTAGTGAAGTGAAGATGTTCAAGGACAATTATAATAGTAAAAAATAATCTCAGTTATTGTTATATTTTGCAATCTTTCAGAACTTTTCACATATCTGAATAAAATCTCAACCCCTGTCGACCTTCCACCAATTCTATCCTTACCTAGATTGTATGGAAATTTCCAGAAGACTGTTCTGACAACAGTATTATTTTTATGAACACGAATAGTATATACCTTGTTAATTAAGTTACGCAAGAAAATATCATAACTAGATATGCTGGGGTTTCAGACTGATTGTGATAGGAACATCATATGCATTTAATTCTAAACATCCACTGTAGGCTAAATTGAACCCCTTCCTACCATCCCAAATTGAAACTGATACTTTCAATGGCTGCTTTCTTTAAGCCAGCATACAAAAGATCTGCAATAGGTACATCTGAAGTTTGAATATTCCAAAATGTGAGCATCCCTTACCATAGCAGTCACTCGGGGCCGTTCTACTTTGCAGCACTTAGAAAATACAGCTATTTTGGTGTTTGTGCTTATAGTATTTTTACATAGTTTAACTATTTATTGGATGAGGATCAAACAATAGTTTGGTAAATATGATGCATGTATCTATATCATAGTATGGAAGAACAGATTTATTTTAATTTCATTTATTAATGAAACGATGAATTTAGCTGTGTCCAGATATCAGGAAAATTCAATAAGCCAGCAAAAAGGATTTGTATTTCTAAGTTTTAACAGCGACAAAGCGTATCATGCATATCATTAATGTACTAATCATCATATTCTTCTAATATCCATGAAACACTGTACTTTTGTACTATTTTTGATATCCATGTTTTAGGTCCAGATGCTCCATCATGTATTGGGCTATACACATTTGGAGAACAAATAATTGGTTTCCTTCAGATACATCAAGTTTTCATAACTTTGCAAGAGTTAAATTTCTACAATAGAATAAATTGCCTTTTATACAAATCATGTTGTTGGTTCTTTCTCAACTCCCATCGCATGTGTTCCTCTGCACATAATAATATTAATAATAATAATAATAAAAAAGATAGTGCAAATACCTGGTCGTACAATATGATGTAAATATTTTTGCAATTGTCAAAGTTATGATATACCTATCATCGGTAGCATTTTTGTTTCATTTTAATGTGAACCATTGAAACGCTCACTGATTCTCATACATCGACACAAGACCGTCCTTCTTTCACTCTACAATCCGATTATGGAACCAATTAGGAAATCCGACAACGTGTATCATAATCAGCCTTTCGAACATCCCTTTGTAAACTTAGAGATATATAAATTCCTTCCTACTATGTAATTGGTGACAGAAAAATAACATCTTGTACGGTGAGAAACAGTTTAAGCACTCTAAATCACGACTTGTTTCATGCTAATTTGATTCATCATAGAATTCGTCAGTGTGGACATCCTGCTGAAGATGCTTTTCAGTACGTTTATGTCTGTAATGGTTATGTTGATCAACGTTTAAACTTGTATCGTAAGCTTAATAATTTCATTCCATTGGACCTGCACCTTCTGTTATTTGGTAATCAATAGTTATCAAAAGAATATGAAATTATTTACCAATCCACTCAACAGTTTATTACAGATACTGATAGATATTGATTCTACCTCAGTATCATCTATCTTCTCTCCTCAGTTCTATAATTTTTTTCTCTTGTCATAAGACTAGCCATTAGAACAAACTCTATGTAAATGAATTAAGTACATTTCAAAAACAAAAAAACACAACACAAAACAAAAAATTAATTCCGTGGAAAAATTACAGAACTTATTTTTTACTGAGAAATAAACGGTATCCTTAGACAATCTATATGTAACAAGTCATAGTCAGTATAGATTTAAAGTTATTTCAAATTTACATATCACAAACAAATAAATTTGAAACAAATGGAATTTCTTATAATGGTTCATGTTCATGGTACAATTTTGTATGTCATATTGACTTTTATTAGACATGATTTGCTGTAACTGAAAAACTGAACTTGTAAATTCGATCTCAGCCTGCATGGCTGGTAAAAAAGTCACTTTCAAAACCAGGAATAAGGTTTAATTAAAGGATAAAGAAATATACACTATTAAGATTCATCTTTTTTATTCCATTCAGTATCACACACACACACACACACACACACACACACACACACACACACACACACACACACACACACACACACATATATATATACATATATATATGAAGGAATCCACTAGATTGAAAATTAATAAAAAAAAAAAAAAAGCTAAATACAGAGAATATACTTAAGTGAATAAAGAGTATGAAAGAACCTATTGAACCACAAACTGAAATACTACAATGTATAGAAGAAATAGTTACAACGCTTATATCTAAATTAGATGGAAATAAGTCCCAAGGTCCTGATTCTATGCATTTAAACGCTCTAAAGATAGTATACACGGCGATATGTAAACCACTAAATATTATATCTAATAAGTCTTTAAATGATGACATCTTTCCGTCGGCGTGGAAACAGGCCAACATCACGGCGATTTTTAAAAAGGGGTCGAAGACTGTACCAGGTAACTACCGACCTGTGAGCATTACAAGCGCTATTTGGAAAACAATGGAAAAAATATTCCTTGACGTTATTGTAAATCACATGATAAAAAATAAGCTTTTCAGCAATAAGCAGTTCGGATTTATCTCAAAAGTATAAACAACGCTTCAGTTGTTAATACTGATGGAAGAGTGGACAAAGGAACTAGATAAAGAAAGAGATGTCATCAATATGCCCCATTGCAGGCTTGTTGGGAAACTAGCAAGTTATGGTTTAAATAACCAGATTGTTAACTGGGTAAACATCTGTTCGAGTGACCGAAAGCAAAGGGTAATAACCAATGGCCAAACATAAGAAAATAATCCGGTTGTAAGTGGAATCCCTCAAGGAAGTATCCTTGGGCCAGTATTATTTGTAATATACATAAATGACCTTCCGGAACAAACTATTTCTAAAACACTGCTTTTTGCAGACGATACGAAAATTTTTAGACAGATTAAAAACGATGACGATAGAAAAGTAGTCAAAAATGATCTCAATAAACTTGAAATATGGTCCACTACTTGGCACTTAAAATTCCACCCTTATAAATGTAAGGTTTTACCCATCAAAGTCAAACAAACTAGACATTACTATATGTTAAGAGAAAGCAATCCGATTCTACTGGAAAACAACAGAAAAAGATATTGGCATAAATATTGACAAGGACCTAATATTTTCCTTCCATATCCAACAACTTGTTAAAAAGGTAAATAGCAGAATGGGTCTTATATAAAGATCTTTTATCTACCTCAATAACAACTACTGAAAGCGTTAGTCCGCACACATTAAGAATATGCTTAAAGTGTGAGGAAAATGAAATGAAAGATATCGAATCAATCGAAATGGTCCAGAGGCGAGCCACTAAACTGGTAAGTAGAGGTTATAGGTCAGGGAGTATATGGTAAAATGTTGATATAGGGTAGAGTGTAATGGAAAGATGTTAGAGAGTAGAGGGTAGATGGTTGGGGTATTGGAAAAATGTTAATGGTATAGGGTAGAGGGTTGTGTGAACGAAGAAACTGTCTTGGGTTGATCTCTGTGCAACTATAATGGTCGACTGGTAATTCACAGTTTAGTGCAAAGCTCCTTTTATAGGGCATATATGTGCATGCTGATAGAGATAAAGCTCATAACTCTGGCGTAGTAGTGGGTAAATGTTTGGGTACAATTTTATAAATTTAACAGTGTTTACTAAATTACTACACTCTCTTTGTCTTTGCGTTATCTTTCGCACCAGTAACTTCTTGTTAAATTGAACAAAAACCTGTAAGCGAAAGTCGAACCCAGGACAAAAACGTAAGTAACATTTGGACTTACGTGTCATCACCATGGCTCAAGTGTTTCTCAAACATAATTGTTGCAAATGCAAAGATTCCATAGAATATTTTTAGATCATTTCGATATAAACTACCTGTATTTGATCGCAGATGATTTTGCACACCAGATGACTTTGCGCACATCCAAATTTCAATCGTCCATTAATTCATCACAATGAAAGTCTATCCTAGACGAATGTATTTGGGTCTGTTTGTAATACTACAGCTTTAAAAGTGATACTGGCAGTTCTGAATTTTAATAAATACGTTGGTACATGTATATTCATGATCACTGTTAATATTGTTAGGCAGTAGATTTTGGAATTTGAGTCCTGGACTCACGATATTTTTCACAACAATTTTACCTTACAGTCTAGTTATCGCATATTTAGCATAGTCTACCATTCCCGCCGAACTCGCCAGAATTTACATTTTGATAGGTTTACTAGAAGAAGTCTAGAGGGATTCTGCATAGTGGTTGCTATTGTAAATATGCTGGAAAGAGAAGACGCAAGGTAACAATCTTAACCAAATTATTTCCGGAATATTCACTTAATAATGATGTACAAATGTCAGAGTTCAGTAAGACATGAAAGATGTCTGATGGCTCCAACTTAACATGGCTGTTGATAATGATACACAGAATGATTCAAGAGACCTGGTTCAATATGGTTTAACATACAAAATTTACTGTCCGAGTGAAAATAAAATGTGTGATCAATTTCATTCAGCCTTGAAATATTTCCAAATCCACTTATTCACAAAAGCAGCATTGCTGATTTCCAAAAGGGGACAGCTTCAGACTTTTTCTTTCTTTTCTTTCTTTCTCTGTTTTATTCTAACTTGATAAAAAGTAAGTAGGCTACTATAAACCGTTCAAAGATGATAAAAGTTTAATGTATATCTAGGTGTAAACATGCTCATACATATCGGTTATTCACATTAGATTACACTATAGTATAGTAAATACCGTCTCGTGATACTATTCCAGTCATCGTGACGTGTATGTACCCACAGGAATGTATCTTGTCACACTGATAATGCCTCACATGACATTACAAAAGTCCATTGACGGATATAAATTTGTAAAAGAGAATTACCGATAAATTCATATTACAACATGTTTAAATTGACATATCAGTCTGTATGGTATTTAACTCTGTTTTCCTTGCTGCTGTGGGACACTGGACTCGTTTCATCTTTTAATTGTGTTAAAACAGGGCCCTGTTCCTGCCAGTTAGATGATGGGACTTCAGTTGACTTATCTCCTCTCTCCAGTAGCGATGTAAATAACCCAACGTAAGTTTTTCAGGGCGTTTGAACCTAAAATTTTCCATATCCATTAATAATCCCTAGAGACAATTTCATATATCAATAACATTTGTAGTGGATGTTATATCACATTCGTGTACAATTAAGTCACGTGTATGACTGGATTTTATTTAATTCACAGATTTTTGGACGTTTCCGGTCCAACTACTAGTGACATCTATTCATGGAATCCATGTGCAGATTTCTCAGAAGGACCAGACAATTGTCAAAATGTAGCGGTATGAATGCATTTTCATGTTAATGAACACAACTAACAAATAAGATGTTTTGTACTTTTACGTGAATCATCAGCAATTTTTCCTCCTGGTGTTGTGCCGGAAAGCATGTTTCTCCAAAGATTTCATTGCAAAATCGTACTCATGGTAACTATATATTGGCAGACCAATGATCAGATTTGCTTAATAGAAAATACATCGCTAGTGATAGGTAGTTTTAGCTTATTTCATGACATGTTTCATAATATAATTTTCAGCCAACGACAAAACACAATGTGTGAACTAGCAACATTTATTCCATCGTTCATATACATTTTTTTAATATACGGGGAGCATTTTTAAAGCAAATTAAAACTTGCCAACAATGTTTCATTCTAATACTGAAGAAGCAAAATTGAATATGAAAATGACATTAAGTTTAATTTTCATCATCAATCACAGGTTTGCGATATTCATCAAAACATACCGAACGCTGAATACTTCAGTTTAGGAAATACTGACTCAGTTTCGTTTACCACAGATGACTTAGGCCAAGTGACAATATCCTATCAATATTCGAACAATGGAACACAGCGGTAAGTACTTCTGATATGTTAATGAATATCAGAGCTCAAGTCGAATGAAGCCGATGGTAACAGATTATGAAGATATTGACGCTTTTAAAGTATCATCACTCTGAATTATCATTCCCGACGCTTCGTCCGGTTATTAATATTGCTATCAGAATTCTTAAATCATTCACTTTCGTATGTCAGGGATTGGTAGCATTTTCCCGTTGTTCCTTAAGAATAGGGAAGCTCGATTCGATGTGCAAAAGTTGGAAATCAAAGACTTTTTTATGAAGAATTAAGTTACTTGGAGAAAACATAAAAAATAAAAACCTTGGATTTGATGCCTTCGTTACTTTGTTTAATGCCTTACTTCAGTGATAAAAGTAAGTTTTACCTTTACTCTTTACTCAGTCTATAGTTACCCTGTAATGACAAACGGGTGATTGAAAGTGATTGAAAAACAATTGGTAAATGTACATGTATCCTTTTGTAAATTACTATGAAATTTTAACTTAATAATAATCTATATCTTTTGATGATTACCTTGCAATCTTTCAGATTTGTTTGATCTCATAAAAATTTCCATTAGTCGCTCCCTATACTTTAAAACAGATTAGGCTCTTTGCATCACCGACTAGTCCTATCAGGACGAAACAGCTTTCCTTCACGAAGTAACATTGTACCAAGCGTAAGGACAGTAAGATAATGTGATTTGCTGTATGAAACACCTGTTAGATAGCACAGAGAAGCCTGTAATAAGGTCATATAACCTAGGTCAAGTATGGCGGCGTACATTAACCTAATACAGAATGACCTGTGTTCATCAATCAAAATGGAGATAACACACTTTACACAGGCAGTCGTTAACATCTGCAATACACGGTAATACCTTGGCCCACTTAGATACACCGTAGGACTACTATATCGGGGATCATGTCCTTTACTGATATCATCTCGTGTATTTAGAGAATGACAGGAATTTTAACTTAAATATCTATAAATAATAGAAATGCAGATTTATTTTAGAAAAATGCTGACGATCGTGCGCAGTCGAGAAATTTCGTAAAATTTGAATTTCATGCTTTGTAGGTATATCACACACAATTTGTTATAATCAAAGGCATACGGAAAATTGCACGTAAACAACAGTATTTTTATCAGTTTCACAGAAAAGTAAATTTGTACGTTTATACAAAGATAATGTCAATCTGTATGATCAAAAAAGTAATTTACCTAACGATGCATTTAATGCGCATCATAAAGGGCAATGAATTTGACACAAACTGTGGCATTATCAAGGTAGACAATTATTAACTTCAACAGAATAAAGACCACTTGTTTCAATGAGAGAGAATGAGAGAAGTATATAACACAAACAACTATGGGATTTAGTAAACCTGCATAATACAAAGCTTATTTTGATTTTAAGTAATTCCACGAGTTCGTGGACAAATTCATTCGTGAATTAAAATTACCTGCAAAATCATTGAAAATAATTATCTAACGGAAATTAATGATTTCGCAGTATGCGCAAAATATTCTCAAGTACCCCAGTTTCATTACAGTTACTCAGCCAAATAATTTTGTTATTGGGTATTAGACGTTTTACCATCTCCTTTGTTTAAATACATTTAGTGTCTTTCATACATAAGCCAAAGGAAGTCAGTTACACTTAAATAACTTATCGAATTGTATGTACATATACAGACACTTTTCTCTTACAGTAACTCTCATATCCTCCTGTCATGTGATCCATCACAAGAAGGAAATTTTGTTCCCCAGGGACCATTACCAGATCCAACAAGTCCGGACTATGTAAGTGTAAAAACTTTCAGCATCTGTGTGGCGACTGTTGTTGATGAACCAGAAGACGTTTATCATACCGGAACGCCTGGTCTAAATCTTAGTTTCTCCTTATTCTCGTTGTGTTATTTTTTGTCAATTCGATTTATGATCTGTTAACACATCGGTTTGTCTTTTTATTATCTAATGGTCTCGAAATTATATCATTCCAGTTAAATACCTACAATTCATTACAAGAAATCAGGACGGGGATAAAAAAAAAACAAAATAAACAGTGGTTTGGAATCATAACATATTTAAGTGTACCTTGTAGAGCTTCGAGTATCTATGAAATAAAAACACATTATAAAAATATCTTGTCTTAATTTATTAGTTTGAATCAAAATCATACAGACATAATATCATATATTTATCATAAATGTTACGTAACGTATGATATACCTATGAATAACATGTACATTAGCTGGTAATGGAACTATTTTCATAGTACATGTTTATGCTACCTTAAGAAACCAAACCAAACCAAAAACATCCATGTAAAGCCATGTGACTTTCCGTTTAGAGTTATATTTTGAAGTAAGCTGTTCTAAAATTGTGTTGAAAAAAAATCAAACATGTTGTAATTAACTTGTTAACTATTTCATCTGTCGTATAAGTTTAAAAGTCATTTTATAGGAAACGCTAGTGTATTAAAATTGCTTTTAACCTTTTTTTCATTTCAATGCTTTCATGAAAACTTCAGCTTCAATTATGGCGACAGTAAATGGAACGTTTCTTTGAAATAATTACTGATACTGTATTATATTTACTGATTTTGGATTTTTTGAAAATCTAATTTCATTGAAACATTTTACTTTTGTGTCTAATACTTCAGTCAATTTAAGAACTTAAGCTTTCACAATGGCGACAGTGAACAAGACTTATCCTTGAAAACATTTTACTGAATCAATTTTCCATTCTTTCAGTATTTTGGGCTGGAAAGTAAGTATATCTGCAAACCGAAAGCGGAAAAGAAAGGCGGAATATCTGTTGGAACCATCATCTGCATTGCGTAAGTTTTGTCCTTCTCAATGTTGTAGTTGTCCGTTTTTAATATGTGGTTTCATTTCAAGATTAATATCTGGAGAGGGAAAGGGAAAGGAGAGAGAGTTCAACTGATTGTTGAACAGCTATCCTAATAATATTGCATTATGACGCAACACTGTGTATGCTTTTAATGACGTTTTTTAAAACCCTGCTGCCCATATTTCCTTAAATGTTTCAAAGTATTACATGGCTCCCTAACCATAAGATCATATCTTAATGTTCTTGAACATGATTTAGTATAGCAATTACAATTGGTATGACCACGATTCGATGAAGCAGAATACGTTAACCCTTATGGAACACCTAGTCTTCATAAAAAGTTTAAATTAAGATACTTTTGACAAGTCGATATTTTCTTTATTGATTGTTATCCTTGGCAGTTTGGCCTAGCTGGTGCTGTATTGCTAGGGTTCAAAGGGTGATCAGCATTGCCTGTGGGTTGCTCACCATTTTGAGCTCTACGACGAACTCGTTTGCTCTTATTCAGTATCTCGGTGCTGAACTAAATTTCTTTTGAGTACCCTTGGTATTGATGCGGAACTGTCCTCTACTAGATCCGATATAGTGAAATCAAAGCAAATTTCTAAAACTGACTAATTATAAGTTAGGTGAACAGATATAACACTGTCGTATATTTGATACTACATAAGTGTGTAAAGAAATCAATACAATTAAATTAAATAGAACTATTTTGGGGATATCAATACTGATACTGATTTCAGAAGAATTAATTGGGACAGACACACTTCCATACACTAGATACTACACTGGTGTGAAAATATCAATAAAACTGATTTAAGGAGAAATGTATATAACAGATACCATGGTAACACTTCAGCTGCTACTACACTGGAATACTAATAACTATACTGATTAATAATTAGGACAATTATAGTGCTGTTGGCAATGCATCGGATAGTGTGCAAATGTAACCAAGATTTAATCTTACAATAATATCATGTATCCAATATATATATAAACTGATTCAAGAATATCATATATCAAATAATTATATCAACACATGTTATGAAAACCAAAATCAGTTTTATATGACCGATACATCACTGTTAAGTCTCAGATAAGCTACACCAATACGGAAAAAAAAATATTAATTGACAACAAGGCCAGATGTCAATGGACAAATACCAATGTCTTATAATTTGAAAATAGAAATACAGATACAGATAGATAAGAGACCAGGTACAGTCATAATTGTATAATTAAATTGGTGTGAAAAAGGTTACTTGATGTTAAGGACCTTATTCAGTGGAAACAGGTTTGAATGTGATTATCATGAGTAAATAAGCAAAAAAAAAAAAAAAAGACCATTAATGATATATTATTGATGACATAAAATAACACAATACACACAGCAAGCGATTTAGATTAACTCATCTCATCACTTCGAGTTAAATTGACGACATGCGTGTATGATAGCTTATCCAATATTACGGTTAAAGTCCATGTTGCCTGTCATATTAAATGAGAGTCCGCTCGTAGGAAAAAGTCGAAGGATCTGTTAAATATCCGGCGATAGGACCACACACAAACATATTCCTGTCCAGGAAAAAATACATGCAGGGTCTTGGTTGTAGCTGATATGTGTGCTTCGTAGTGACATGGGCTCTCAACGAGGATTAGGCCTCGGAGAGACGACTTGGACACATATGCGTCGCCACCGTAACTATCATTTAAATGTTTTGCGAAGTAATAGATCTTGTAAGTCAGGACGAATATCATTATAACATAAATAGTTAACGACTATCTGTATATGATGTGTGGCTGGAAATTGCTGATCTGTGGGGGTTTAAGGTAGCCATGCCGACAACTGAAACGACAAAATTGCTATAATTCAAAAATGACGATTTCCATGCCTATTTGATGTACATCAGATACAAACGAAATTACAGAAGAAACATAAATTATGTACAAGTACTGGATGCACAAATTAAGTGTTTAGCTGTCTTTTAAAGAACTGTTTTTTCGCTGTCTGGACGTAAAGTGCGGAAACTCATTATTACTAGAAGAAAGGGTAATGTTAGTATCATGTCTATTCCAGTGCCCTCGCCATTATTGTTTTGTACGTATCAGTCGGGGTTTCCGTCAACGTTTTCTACAGGAAATATACCGGTAAACAAATAATTCCAAATGTCTCATTTTGGGCAGGATTACCCGGTCTCATTAAGGTAAATAAAAAAAATACTATATACTTATACTTTGTATGTAATTAAAAAGATAATAATCGAAGACGTCCATTGGACTATAAAATTCAATGAAAAGAAATTCTGTTTTAAACAAAAACACTTCAGACACTGTTTGTGTTGGAAACGAGATCAATAGTGGCATTCGGCGGCATCAAACGCACTAGTTGGGAAGAACTGTATAATTCACGTAAGCAAATGACATAAGGTCAAGCTTGATTCTGGCAAAACAATGTGGTCCTTGAACTCTTCGTTCTTGAGAAGAAGTTGTTTTCACAGTGTAATACTTTTGGACCGTGGCTTTAATATTCAGGTAATGGTCATTCATTTGAATTTGAAGCTTTCCGCAAAATTGCATCAAAATCGGTTCCAGGGCTCTTTAGAATGTTAAAAGTTTACAAACTCACAACGCCGGAAAAAAAGGTTATTGCAATTGGTCACTACGAGACTTGAATACGTAAGGGTAACGTTTGAGCGGAGGAACAACTTTATTCTATCAATATTTCTAAACAGAATTTCTCTGTAAGCATATAGCAATGAATTTGAAAGAGGATAAATCTTAACATAACTTATTCACATCACTGTTTTAATATGATAGATTTAATATTTCTGTTCCGTATTGTGTGATTCAAATGTATTAATTCTTCCAAAGTTATATATTATTTATTGTTAATTTCAGGATGGCTTCAAATTTTTAATCAGCGGATGCAAGAAATCGACGGTTTATGACAGAATATAACATTTGCAAGAAAGCAGATATTAAGATGGTGTCAAGAATGTCCAGCTCACGGAAATGTTTTTTCTTGGATTATATTAGTAGAAGGAGACGATATGTATGAATCCCATCAAACGTCAAGCTGACGACGTGACGTGAATTTTTTAAAGCTCAAAACCAGTGCTTTCAAAGATTTCAAATTTATGACCATCTGATGTTTGCTTTTGGTTTTTATCTCTTTATTATTATTTACTTTGGTATGGATAAAGACCATGGACTACTTTAAAAAAGATTTAGGTTGAGGAAGGAATAAAATATCGGTGATGTTAAATGTGTAACATACGAAATTCATTCCGATGTTAGTATCTAGATGCGGTTTTATAGATAATGTACATGTATAAACTTATTATATAAATATCGAACACATGTACGTGGAAACATCTGTGCAGTGAATAATTAAGGCTATTTGGGTGTGACAGTTCGTGCATAATATCAATCAGTACTTCTTACTTCAAAGAGATTATTATCACGTTTGTGTTGAAATAAAGTAAAGGATGCAACAGCTGATTTTCTTTAAATAAAACAAAGAATTGTTGTTCGTCATACGACATCAAATAACATAGATAAGCGTACCTACCGCACTCTGATATGCTATATCAAGTCATATCAGTAACCCTTTTGACCTTTTACCGGTCATTTGTGCGTGAATGTTTGCCTTGCCCGAACACCCCAACAGGGAAAATCTACAATTTTAACATATTTGATTCTTTCAAGCATATCAAGGTCATTCCTAGTCACTAGGGCTCAAATAAACTCTCTGAAACTAAGAAATGATTCCCCACTCCCAGTGGTGTTTTCACCTAAATTTGGTTGAATTGCATTCTAGCATTAAGAAAGAGCAGCATTTTGTAGTAAAATCTTATCAAACTTCCATTTTTGGGGCCCTGCCCCCAAGTCTCTACAGGTCGAATTAACTCTCTAGATCAGAAATGATTCTCTAATCTCAATGATGTTTCAGACCAAATTTTATTGAAACAATTTAGCATTAAAAAGGAGTAGTGTTTTGAAGCAAAATATTGACAAATTTCTCTTTTGGGTGCCGCCCCTAAATCCCTAGGGATCGAATGAAACTTCTGCCATTAAGAAACTAGTCTTCACTTGAAATCATGTTTCAGGCCAAATTTGGTTGAAATCCATTCAGATATCAAAAGGGAAGTAACGTTTTGAAGCAAAATATCGTCTTCTTTTCCTAAATTCAAGAAAAAATTGCCTCCCCTAACTGATGAATCAGGACAAAGTTAGTTGAAATCCACCCAGCAGAAAGGAGGAGTAGATTTTTAAATCTAATTTCAGCACCTCCCACTTTTGGGCCCCGCCCTTCGACCCCTGGGGATGGAATCATAAGTCTGATTCAAGAAATTATAACCCTCATCCAACGATGCAGCAAACCAAGTTTGGTAGAAATAAATCCTGGTATGAAAGAGGAGTAGGGTTTTAAAGAAAAAGTATAAGCACGACGTACGACGACGGCCAAAACACGCTTGTTATAGGGTCATCTTGACTCTTCGGGTCAGATGACCTAAAACCTTTGCAGTGCATTGATTGGTATCAAGCATGAAGCATGTGAAAACAATTATCAGGTATAAGGTTAATAAGAGTGTGTTCACTGCATTGCTTTCATCGAAATGAAAAAAGTCATAAGCAAAGATAGTACTACTTAATGTTCCTATATATCAACCATAATGGTGTAGAATCGGCTGTATCATAATCCTACATAGACTAAGGCCGAAAATAGTGTGACTAGATGGTAGATCATACACCAAAAAATACCCAAGATGGTAACAATGTACTTAAGTCAATTCGGCTACGCATTATTTAACACTTGATCATAGATGTGCGAGATTCCCCCCACCCCCTTGTTCCTGTTTAGTACGACCTGCTGTCTCTTATCTTATTCAATTACTTAACCAACCACCTGAAAAAGTTGTTTTCCCTGCCGACTTTCTTTTAGTTCTCTCGGTCAATATGATTTTGATGTTTAAAATTATCTGTAAGTGTAGATTTATTGATGTGGGACCGAGAATGTTTTCGCTCTGATATAGTGAATGTTTCGCAGCATTCTCTTTTGGTGTTTTATCTTTAGGATGGACAAGAGACTATTTCGGAGGTTTCATGGATGTTGTTATGGCATAACCTAGGTAAATCATCTGAATGGTCACTGACAGGCCTTTGATGTAAGGGATGACTCCTTGTCCTTTCGTTTTGTACTTTTTCTTGGTGTTTCGTCTCTTATTTGCTTTTTATCAAATTCACTGTGTACTTTCTGGAATGCTCAATTAGGATATCCACATGTTTTCATGGCGCTACGGATAGGATTTTGTTTTTGCTTTTAGCCTTGTTCTTCTGTGACAATGATTTCACATCTGAGGCGAAAGGGTCGTGCAACGCCCAACATTAAGTGCAAGGGGTGGTGCGATCGACAGTTGAGGTATTGGTCCCCCGGCGCGCCTGTTTGTGTTTATCTACAGTATTTACATGCTCAGTCAAATGTTTCTGTTACCCTTTTTTGACTATTTCCAATATTTCATCACATCAACATACCGCTTCTTGGGCTTGCATTCTACGAGGGCCGTGGCTACAGCCTCTTTCTCAGAGAGCTCCGTGAGTATACAATGGAAGACACTGGATATTTCGGAAGGCAAAGTATGCTGTTGTAACACAAATTCTAGTAATCCATAATGTCTTATATATGGAGATGACCATGACCGGTCTTGCTCTGGGCGACTATGAATGATATATGTCCCAAGCCATTTGAATACGTCGCAGCGGGTCAGTATTAAACAGAGATGACGGGGACCACATACTCTCGCACATCTATAACGAAGAGTTCGACAAAGCGTTGCCCAATCGACTACAGTACATTGTTACCATCCGGTGTATTTTTGGTCTATAATCTGTTTACCATCTTTTCATACAATTTTAGGCCTTAGTGTACATATGATTTTTATTATTACAGCCGAAAAAGTTGGATGATTCCTGACAAGTTCGTACACTACGTACGTCAGTGCTAGTACAACCCACACTGGCCATTTGTCTGATGAAGGTGACCGTGTACGACCCACACTGGTCATTTGTCTGATGGTGACCGTGTAGATCTCCTACACTACGTACGTCAGTGCTAGTACGACCCACACTGGTCATTTGTCTGATGAAGGTGACCATGCAGTCATCGAATATCATACACTAATACATAATGGAAGTGTTATAAGAACATCTATTTTATTGACGTTACACACCTCAAGAAAATGGTCACAAAAACAATTCATAGACATTGTTTAGAAGTAGTGAAGATGGTTGTGACAATTCATCAGCAATCAACATACCTCCTTCATTTCAAATGTTGACGAATGTAGATTTTACCCTAAATTTATGGCGGAATATTAAGGTAAAATGAATGGTACACCTGACATTATACTACGTACAATTGTTTTGCAATACATATTATGGCCGAGACGTCTTTTTTTAGACATAAATAATTCACTACTGTCCGATTGCAAGGTTTGGAAAAAATTATCAAACCACATGATTTTTTTTCCCGATATATATAAACATTGCTATACAAAATAGATATGTAACAAATGTTATGTATCAAACATATGTATCAAATTTAAATGTACTGACATATAACATATAAACAATGGTGTGTAATAACGCCCTTTAAATGCATAGATCATGAATTTTACTCTGACAATAGCCACAATGTAAAGTTGAACTTTCAATGGTAAACAATACATTACCAATTAACACAAACTTTCTCTGTCTTGATTGATAAATACAAAGTATCTATATATGTCCCAGAAAATGTCCATAAAATCCTATTGGACTGTATGGTAAATTCACAAGCGTAATTTCTTTTGCTTTCGCTTGATAGTTCATAACTCCTTTAGCATTTACAAATGTGCATCTGGATATGGTTTGTTCCCAGTCATGTTTAAAACCTGGGATGCACACATATGTTCAATATCATGGCACATTACCAAATAAAAGGTACAAGTTTTGGAGTTGTCTTCAGATATTCAAGGTAGGCAGGGTCGGATCCATATTTCTTCATGGCTGAACGCTGCTGTAATGGAATTCCACTGACGTTTGTGAGGAGGTAGGCTACAAATATGGGTGACAAAACACCCACGTGTTCCCAGCCCTTAAGGACAGAGGACGAGGACAGGTATAGCCCAGACCACATCATTATCTCCCCTAGGTAATTTGGGTATTGGACCATCCGCCAGAGACCTTGGTTTATAAATTTGTTCTATAACAGAAATTAAAATACTGTATTTCACACCATATCATAGGATCTTGGTTCATAACAGCAGTACATATACATGAATATTGATTCAAATATGACTTTAATATAATTATAATTATTTAAAGAAATGCCAAAGAATACAAAAATATTTTGCAATTGTAATTTGTAATCTGAGCTAAATTTCATCAGTAGACTATTTATTTTCTTAATGTTTTAAAGAATTGTTTCAGGTGAAGAAAAAGAAAAGTCAAATACTCCATACAGACAGGTGTAAGAGCAATATCTGTTTCCAATATTAGGCCTGTAATCCAAACTGTTGGTCAAAATGGGAAAAGAAAAAAATACCTCCCCATTCTGCTTCATACTAATCTTTTGAGTGGAAATAGGGTTTATTGCTTATGCTTAATATTTGAAATCTTTGGGTAGAAATAGTTTTTTTTTTCTTGTGATTAATATTTCCAATCTTTGGCTGAAAATAGTTTTTTTAATGCTTATGATTAATATTTCAAAGACATGTAATATCTTATTTATTGCAAACATACTTTGTCTTGTAATACTTACATTGTTATCAGGGTTACTTCTAAACTGGGATTTCTGGTGGTCCGCTATGGTTTCTAATAAGAAACCAGCAGCCCATAGACCGTAACCTATATAGTCCCGTCGTGTCAGCGGTTTATCCTCTTTTTTACTATTCAGGATCAGTGTAGGCAAAAGGGTAGCAAACACCCATACCCCTGAAACAGACAAATCAAGGATTTTTGTTGCCTCCTTAGTTTGAAATTTTAGGCCCTTACCATCACGGTGGGTCTTTGAAGGAAGAAATAGCTGTATGATGTAGTTTAATTCATTGTTTGTTTTGCTGTATCTGAATTTGTATTAAAAGGCTCTATTCCCTGGTGTGTATTCTGTTTAATCTGCATCTCGGATAATGTGTAATTTTAAGTCAGGAAAGCAATGACGTTTCTATATCATATATCAAGAAGATCCACCAAGACAAATGGAAATAAATTAACCAACCACACAAACAGAAATACACTCCATGTCAGTGAGTTGGACACGCAACGACACAAGTTAATACCCTGATTTTAATCATCTTAAGACACTTACAACGCTTTTGATTCCCTTCCAAAGTTTTAAAATACTTTTGAGAATTTTTTATGTAATCATTGTCAAAGTCATGTTAACATAACATGCTTTGAAATAACATTTTGCTTCTCAGAATTTTCAAAAATGTAACAGAAAATATTCTTTGCGAGAGATGTGTTCAGCTGTACTGAAATACTGACATTTCATTACCAAAGAATAGGATCTCATCAACAATTTACTGTTTCAAACAAGGATAAATTAATTTTGAATTCGGAGTATTTACATGGTACAGACTTCTGTCCCATAAGTGACAAAGAAATGCCGTGTTGATGAGAAGCTTTTGAATGACACAACTAAGCAAGACATATCCTTACCTTGAATGGTCCAGTAGATAAAGAATGTACTAGGTTTATTTCTAACTTTATTGAAGCGACGATCTTGTCCCTCTTTAAGGATCCTTGTAAATAAAAATAATCCTAACCTGTAAAGGAAAATTTAATCATCAATAAAGTAAACGACAATAAATAGATAAATAAATAAATAAAGTAGAATTCCTTTCAAATTATTATATCAATAGAAAAAGAAATAAAAAATGAAAAAAAAAAAAAAAAAAAATAGATAATTGAGAATAGTTTTCAAATTATGTTAAGTAATGAAGTTTACGTTGAAAACAAAGTAAAGCTTGCAATGGTAAAAACATTTCTGTACCATGTACATAGAGAGCCATATCGAAACAGTATTTTTACGGTATTACAATTTGTAAATTTGACTTTCAGGAAATATGAAGCATGTTCTGAATGTCTAAGAAAAGTCCCCTGTGATTAATATGTATCTTATTTGGACAAATTAATTTTCGAACTCTGTCAAAAGACCCTTGCCTCTGTTTCGCTGTTCGCTGATCTGGCCGTTAAGTAATTATGTTCTTTCGCAAAGCACTTATTTAAGGGAGATAACTCGCAGAGATACCAAACACACCTGAAGCCCCATGTGGCGGCTAGCCACGACACAATACGCTGTCGTTTGTAGTAGGTTTTGTTCCATTTCAGAGACAGAAGAGCAAGATAGAGTATAGTGCCTGACCCTATGGGAGCCTCTACCAAGAATGCTGGATGTAAACAAAACAATGATTGATTTTCGTTTTTCAATATCATAATAAAGATTAAATTTCTTCTGGCCGTCTGAGGTGGCACCTGAAATTGTAAAATATACTTGAATTAAGAAGATAGGTCAAACGTGAAATAAACACACCTGGCTGACCACGTCATGACCATTCCAGTGTTGATCTTCTGTCTGGTGAAGTAGGTGTTGTTCCATCTTAGACTTTGCAGTGCCAAGTAGAAAAATGTGCTTGATCCTGCGAACAGTAATTAATTTGGCTGGATGTACAACGAAAATCATAGAACCGTTATCATTTTTATGAGATATCAACCTCTACCGGGGTGAAAATCGATTTATCACTTGAAGTGTAACATTTCGATACCAGAAAATGACATGCATCCTAATTATAGTAACAATATTGCATAGGTCGGCTAAAATCCTTTCTACAGTACCTAATACAATGTACATAATATTTTCTTTGTCCGCTTTCTTTATATTTCGACGATGCATAAAATTTATTCTGACTCCACACTCTCAGAAGTATCAAGATAAACCTACAAAAACACAAAACATTACAACAGGTTTTATATAAAATACTCGCTAAGTTCAAGTTCATTATAAACTTTAAATGGTGTGGTCAATGATAATCTACAATTAATATTTTGTCTTGTTGCAATTACCGCCATATCTGTCGATTATTGTACTGAATAAGTGTATTAAGGTTAATATTCTATTTCAAATAATTTGTTAGTTTCTTCGTTTTCTTATCCCTTCTATTAAACTTAGCTATATATCTGCATGTACAGTATAGCTGAAATAACAACAGTTGTCAGACCGATCCTTAATATCGTGTGTGCCCTCCCCGAACAGCTGTAGCGCCTCTTATTCTGAGTGTCATGGAGTTCATATGGACAATCTGTTGAGGATTGTTACTTCAATCCACGGTAAGAGTGTCGGCCAATTGGGGGAGGACATTTTTGACATTTGCACGATTCTGAACTCTTCCGTTTAATTCATCCCTCAAGCGTCCGATTGTGGACAAATCTGGATTATATGGAGGGAGACCAATCAATAGGGACGATGTCCTGGGTTGCGAGAAATTCCCTACAACAAATTTCTGTAAACGTGTGACAATGCGTTTTCATCTCGATAGCGTAAAGCCGTTCCATTTCCGTTGATGATCACTAAAGGTGTCTTTCAGTCATGGGGAATTCTTCTCCAAACTATAATCGATCCACTCCAAATCTGTCAAGTTGACTGCCATCTGATCGAAATAACGTGCTCGATGTTGAGAGGTCAATTGCAAACCAACATACTGCCCTTCGCAGTCTATTTTTTAGGGGAGGGAGCATTCGACGGTTTCCATTACCAATTACATTTATTGCCGTCTCGGATCCTGTCACATCATAACGTCACGAAGTTACACGTGGACGTTCAGGTCTAGGACCGTCACCAACTCTTCCCGTGGCGTTGAGAAATAAAATTAACCGACTTACAGTCACTTTGTATTAAGTCCAAAGTGCGTAGCGAGCTGCTGTTGAGTGCTACTTCTAATAAGCATTGTGAATGCTCGTCTTCAAAGTTGGGACACCCGAGGCCTATTTGTAAAAACAATTATTGGTTGCAAATGTATTGGCGATCACGCGTCTTGGTGATAGACAGCAATCAACACTACTTTGAATGGAAAAGAACGAATGGTAATTTAGAGACACCGGGTGTGGATATGCTTTTTGTAACGAATGAGGGATTCTTAACATATATTTGGGGATTACAAAAGGAGCCCTATTATTCCTATTATTTTTATACAGCTATGTTCAATCAGTACAAAATCTTTTACAATTAAAGGCGTTTCTTTATCCTTCCTGTTAACTAAGAAAAATAAACAAATAAACAGATATTCTTTTAAAAAATCATTGAAAAATAAAATAAAATGATAATACATAAATAAATAAATAAATAAATAAAGACTTTTGTTATTTCAAATTGTGAATGGTAATGAAATATCAGACCGAGTATACTATGAGATTTACAAGTGTCCTTGAATATGCATCTTATCGTCTTAGCTACACATACCAATATGTCTACATCAACGACAGTACACACTCATGTTTAAACAAAACACTCATGATCGACCAACCTTTCCCACTAGTTACACATTACAATGAAACAAACTTCTGTGTAGAACATGTTGAAATTTGCTGCGTGCCAGAAATTTTTTTCTGTGCCATTACAGAATCATTCCAAGCAAGTTTCATCTTAATCCCACGGGTGTAACTTGAGACTTTAAAAAGAAGTTTTGTCCTGGTAAACAATAAATGCGTAATCATGTTACAAACAGGCCATAAAGTTTAAAATGTAGGACACATGGAGGAAACAAGATGCTATAGATGATAAAATTGTTCTTGAACGTTGATTTATCAGTACTGTTACTGCGTTCTAACAACGAACGCTGTCCATATATACTGATATACCATCTACTCATCATATTTCCGCAATTTAGCACATAGTTCTGCAATGAGCCTTGATATCATACGGTGGCCACAGTACGTGTGGTGCACAAAACAGTAAGTCGCCCGAAATCTGACCTCAAATCCATCATCGATTGTCTAGGCAATGTAAACAATGATTTATCCTACCTGCTAAGTCATAGAATTTCTCCGTTTGAAGAACCGCAGCTACCGCCCAGCATGCCCACTGGATCCCGAAGTCTACCGCCGCAGCCTTGCCTAAAGAGCTCCCCATGTCGAAGAGCATACCAATCAAAACAATGAGATAACGATACACGGTCAAAGTTTACCGGCCTCGTGTGTGTACACAGAGTCTTGTGTTGTGTAACATGTAAACTTCCGGTTAGTGGACTGAAATATTTGAGAGTTATCTCTCTTTGTACACACAAAAGACAGGTTACACAAGTCTAATCGTGAGCTCACACCGGAGCATATTTCGTGAAAAGCAGATCCAAAACCAATTACAATTTTAAAATACCGAGGATGAAGCTGTTTCGAATATCTGACCAGCTATATTTACGCCGAGTTTGATAACATGTACTTTGTACCACTCTCAGCTAATTTATATTTGGTCACAATGACGTCAAGCATCCCTTCAATTTCACTTTTAAAAATAGAGATTATGTCTTGTTAATAATAAAAATGGCCTCTCTCTCTATATATATATATTATGCAGCTGGCACTGTTGGATTACACCTGTTATGTATATTTTTGCTGTATTCGGCAGTGACGAAAAACGGCTGTATTTTTTGCATATGAGTTAATTTGGTAGACTTACTTTCTCAACTTGATTAGATGTTACATTAAACAATAATAATAACTGCTGAAAAAGGCGATTTCATATGTGTTTTGAACAATAGGCTGCATTTTGGCGAGGGCGGAGAAAGACAAAAGTGGCTCGCCAAAATACAGCTTATATTTTAAGATACTGACCATGTATTCTCACTGTACCTACCAGTTAATGGTAGTTTAAAAGAAGATAATTTTATTGTAAAATGTAAATATTGGATCGATTGTTAGGCATACAGTTAATATCTATCATAGTGCGCTTAAATGTGTAGACAAAATGTTAAAAAAAAAAACAAAAAACTGACAACCAATCCGGAAGTACAATTCCACCACAAATAAAATAGAATTGTTCTCACTCATGAGTTGATCTCTTCACAGTAGGATCTCTCTATCATTCTAAATTCGTCAGTGCAAATGACAACATAGCAAGATTATGATAGTTTGCCAAGATGACAGATCTCTAAGGAAAGTAGTCATTCCCAACCCCTACTCAACAACCACCTGGGAACCATTTGTAACAAAACGGTCCCTTGCCAGATTTCGGCTACGAAAAGTCAAATCTCGCGGGTAGTCGCAGTACTGTAATATGGTACAGATCTGACCTGTCGTTTTCACAGTTTTCTATGGAAGCGATATTCAAGAGCGATATCAAAGATTTTAATATTCTTAAAAACAACTCGTGGATTGGAGGCCAAGCAGATCGAAGATCGAAAGACGTAACATTGAATTACGGAGTCGATTATTGTATCATATTTTTCTTATGCTAACTTATTTTATCGCTGAAAAAGTCTCTTTTCTTGGGACTCATGACGTCATGCGATTGTTGTGGCCTGGAAAATCTTACCTTCAGACTAGAAATTCGCATTTCCTTTGCAGAAAATGCACGGTAGAAACTGGTTTCTCCAGTGACTAATAAATACTGCGTATATGTTATGAGTGAGTGAGTGATATGTTAAATTAAAACAACACAATAAAAGCATACTTTTTGAAATTGATTTAATTTACAAATAATTGATATGCACCATTTTAATAAGTATATCAATAAATATTTTATGAATGAAAAACACGATCTACAATTAAAAAGGTTACAAATATCGTAATTACAAAATATGACCTGAATGTTGTAATTCTGTTCCTCTCCGCTAGATGACACTGGCGCATGACTTCTTTCGGTATTTATAAAAAAAGAGTTCCAAGTACAGCTAGGAATATAATTTGTAATAAATGACAGTGACTGCAGATAATCCAGATCAATAATCAATCATTAAAACTATAGATAAAAGATTTATACTTATATCACTTGGGAGATATGAAATAGATCGTGCAAATATGATTACCAGGTAAAATGATATTGCCAATTAAGGACATGTGCAGATTGTGTGATACATGTAATGTTATGTAAATATTTTTTTGTGAACCAATCATACTTCTAATATCAACACTGTTGTTAACATACCGCCTCACGAGAAATATACATCGCTACAAATTAAAAATAAAAAAACCCGTTATTCTATATTGATTAAATAAACTCTCAGCAACTGCAACTAGTAAATACGGCCTGTGTAGTTTGCCTGTTCCTGTAGCCTCGTTGTCACAGAGTGTTTCTGTCTTGGGCCAAAAAAATCAGTCCTCCATACATATCTCGTAAATTAATCACGATATTTCAGCTGTTTATTTAGTGTTATCAAGTGTGTACAGTTTTCAAGATAACGTTATGTGAAAGTAAACACGAACACAGTGAGTTCACGCTCATCAAAGCATTGACCTACAGTTAAGGAATATTACTTGGATGATACATAATTTGAACCATGTGAATTCTCGACAAAGCACAACAAACCAACATGTTAACTAAAATGCCGTAGACTTGACAGTTTAGTCAGAAGAAAGACGGATTTTCTATAAGTAATTTTACCATAACTAATCGTGTTTTCATTAAGGCCGAGTTAACACTAAGGTCACGTGTTTTATTTTGCAGGACAATATCTAATTTTACACCAACCTCACAATGCTTTCACGCAGTTTGATAACACCAACATACCTCTAACCCTATTACATGTAAACTATACAACCGATGTACCTTTAAACACCAAGCAAAGAAAATGAAAAGTAAACAAATTCTTCAACAATATTTTGGCTTTTAAAAAAAATACGAATAGTCTTGGAAATGGAAATTATATGTTACCTGTGTAGAAATGGCTTATTATGCTTAAATTGTGAAATGTATTAGTTGATGGCTCCGTCCGTGAATTGAACCCTTTTTAGGATAACAAAGTACAGTGTACATGAAGGTGTGCGCGTCAATTTGTTCATGATATAAATTCTAGGGGGTTTATGAGTTTGAATGGTGTGCGGTGTCAATAGCTAGACTTAGATAATATATACTTTGTCTATATTGACATAGACTCTGTCAATAGAAATGGTATTTAGCAGATTTCAAGTGAAATATAAATTACTTTTCGACATGACAAGTCTTTAAATCGCGATAAGATCCTTTTCATACAATATTCAGTGTATTTCTCCTATGTAAATAAGTTGATTACATAGTGCATGTATAACGGTAGACACAAACCTGGATCATTGTAACTACAAGACCTCTGGGTATCATACTCCTAGCACACCAGGCGATGTACCTTAAGTGGCAAACTACAAGTACTTTACAATAAATAAACATGTACATTGTATATAGCTTCCGATGATAATAGTGTCATTAATAAAAAAATGAAACGGGCTCATGTGAATACTTAAAATTGAAATATTAATATGGTATGGTTATAATAGAATTAGCGGATAAAGTTCCGTGCAAATTAATTCGCAAATGAAATGATTTTTTTTCTAATTAACAGTCAACATGGTACAGTGTATCTGGTCTATTCTATCCTTATTCCCCCTTAACTCTTTCAGGAATAACTTCATAAGTCTTTCATTTGTTCATATTTTCCCTCGGTTTCATCGAAATTGTGTTTTGAAAATTATGATTTTCGGGGTTCTTTCTTATGTATCGCAAGTAATACCACGTCATCAATTTAATTTTTTTCAAGAAATAATTACTTTCACGATTACATTATAGCGTCGAAATTAAAGAAAAGAGCCCCCGAAGAATAAAATCTTTACAGTAACCATCTTATCGCCAAGGGCTATACATGCATGTTTAGGAAGCATTACATTCTAAATATGAAAATATGTATATTAAGAAACAGATACAACCACATTGTGCCATTATGTCATGAAAATGTCTTACAATGTACGTAAAAATGATGTTTTGAAGACAATCCGATCTTCTACACAACTCCTGAAATCATTACTATTGAAAAAGAAAAAACAGCTGATGTTTCGCAGTCATGCTGTTTACCATATATACAATGTTCTGTTGATTTTGTTGTAGTACGTACCAGGCACTAAAATGAACAGGACACGATATTTCATCTTGTTAATGATAGCTGAATTCTCTCTCAACAACAATTTTTCTATTGAGTCAGGTAATAACGATTTAAGAACATTGCTGTTTTTTATTTTATTTTTAGTAAATGAATAGTCTTTTCTTATAATCAAAGTAGTTTTTATGCAACTTGGTATGTTCTTCAATTTAAAATCAAATGTAATATCGATTATATTACAAAATCATAATTCTAGAGCATCGATGTAGATTCAGCTGTCAACATCGCTTGAAAATGGTGTAAAATTTCTTTTTATACCCAAAGAAAAAATACCACAATAACGAAAACAAAGCACGACAAACAATAAAAACAAAGTAATAAATAAAACAATAAATAAATAAATAAAAAAAGAAGGAGAAAAGAAAAAAAATATGTGATTCAATATCTGAATGCTAAGGAAACTCCTGTAAAATCATGTGAACAGAATGATCAAATGAAAAATGTAGATGATAAAAAGCATTGCTTGTGCTGCTGAAGATTGTAATGAAATAATACATTCTCTTAACATCCGAAAATTTACGACATCGGCTAAGATATGTGTAGCAGTTTGTGATGATAAAAAGGTGAAATGTTGAAAAAAAAAAAAAAAAAAATGAAAAGTAAATGTGTCTGTCCTATGGAATAGAGTGTATGCTAGGAATACGGGAGACTGATAATCATTTTCTTTCGTTTATGGCAATGATAGTGATGCTTTACTTGGTATGTGATCGTCAGGGCCAATCAGCCGATAACTTGTTATTTGGGTTCGTTGTATTACTCTTAAACCCATCATGTAATTTTGCGGGAACAGTTCGGCCATTCTCGATAGATCTGATGTACTTGGCATTGGTTGTTTTGTGCATATGTCGACTGCCAACGTATTCGGCTACGTAATTGTTTTGAATCGGGGAAGGAGCCATACTTCCGCTATCACTTAATCTTTCTTTCAACATTTCTTTGTCCCTCACAACGGGAAGCAAGGCCGCCTGTAAAGTTCTTTTCTCTTTCTTCTCACGCTCTAAGAGTTTCTCCAGCTCCTCACAACGATCCTGAACATCGTTTGTGAAGTGAATAAGATCTGGTTTGACCTCTAGTTCAATGTGCATGTCTTTTTGTACCAGATTCTGGTGAAATTTCACTGTAGCAATTTGTCGCTCTAAGGCATAACGTTGTAACCTGTTTCTCTCATACATCGTCCGCATTTGTTTGTATTCAGACTGTTTTCGGTATCGAACTGCAGATTGAATATTTTTGGCAAGATCGTTTTTCTCGGATTCTAGTTTTTCGAGACTTGCTTCAAGCTTGAGTCGTCTTTCTTCAGTTTCGTGGATAGCAAGATGGAGTTCGTTGGAACGCTCCTCGCGCTTCATCAGCCGCTGGAGTTCCGTGAGGTCGTTGTCTAGTTCCTGCTGTCTTCGAGAAATATCCTTAGATAGAACGGAGAGGCGCCGCGACAGTTGTTCTTCAATTGTAGCTAATTTGTCCAATTTTTCGTTCACATCTTTTGTTTTTTTATCGTCTAGCCTTAACCAGCGCCTCGCAAGCCAGGCCGCTTTCTGAAATTTCACAAGTACGTCAGGTAAAACACGAAGTAAACAATGCGTTTTTACATTTTTCAATTTCAGGTGATGTATCGCCTGTTCACTATCTTGGCTGAACATTTCATAATTTATACTTGTTTCGTTGTCTAACAAGAAATCAATTCTTTCTTTTAGAAGAGACAGCCTCTGTGCAATATTCTCTATTTCAGTATTGTCATACAAATTCTTGATATCCCGGAATTCGCGTCCCAGTAAAAGAAGAGCTGCACGTGACAACATCCGCTTCCGGGTCTCGTGAATGTCTTCGGATGATGCTTCGCTTTCCGCGTCAGATAATGCGAATGAACTCCAGCCGGACAGACCGGTCAGTCCACTCAGTCCACTATCAAATGAACTGTATGATACTAAACTTAAGTTTGATACGGACATGGCCGAGTCTACTGACCGTTCTCGGTCTGGGGCGGCAGTAGCCACTTCCAGGAAGTATTTGAACAATGGATTGAAGATTCGGTCAACAAAGTTGGACCGCAACTCCCGTAAGTATTTCAAATAATCAAATAACCACGCAAAGTATTGCATCATTGCATCCGGTGCTATGTTTGTTTGAAACCCCGGTTTTCTGCTTCTATTGCGCATGTGTATTCGTCTCGCTTCCGATTTGAATGCTTGTCGAAGTCCATCGATGGTATGAATATCCTTAGAGCCTTTTATACGTTTTGTTAATTCCTTGAACATTTTGTACATCAAATCAGTGTTGAAATTTTCGTGACACCGATATATCTTATCTTCAAATGCTTCAATTTGGTTGTAAAGTACATTACTTCTGTACTTGTCACCTGAGGTTAGCAACTTCAACTGTAATAGATGGATAATCAAATTGATATATACATGTTTTCAAATAAATAATCACGAAGTTCTGAAATAAATTGTTGCTAAAAAATGTATGAAAGTCCTTTTTATATGATTTTCCACTTTTTTTATATAAATTTTCCCTTTTTTATATACATTTCCCCCTTTTTATATAAATTTTCCCTTTTTTATATACATTTCCCCCTTTTTATATAAATTTTCCCTTTTTTATATACATTTCCCCCTTTTTATATACATTTTCTCTTTTTTGTCTATCTATAACTTAAACTTGTAGATGTCGAACAATTAAATGTTGATCATTATTATGTAGTGATTATTTGTAACTTCAAGATTTATTTAAGTATAAAGTAATAACCTGGATTTTCTCAGCCGCCCAATGTCGATGTGAGTCCTCGTTGTCGGGCGACCTGTAACATATAAACAACACATATATGGTAATATATTTAAAGAAGTATACAAATGTCATTCTGAAATCTGACCAAAAATGAAAAAAATGCAAATTTTTAATGAATTTTTGCTATCGGTAAATAGGTCATAGAATGAGTATTTGTGTGTTTTTATCAATTCTATTTAAACCCTTCCCTACTTCTGATTCAAAATATTGCTAGTTTTGATGTGTCAGTAAGCTTACTGTCTGGACATTGTAGCTGTACATGCATCTTCTGAAGGGTAACTCCATCGTGTTTTTTTTCTTCTAATTTTACATCTATTCGATATTCAAAATCTTGTTCTCATTAACACGATAAGGCAGTTTTACGGCTGTTATTTTTCACTTCTTTTATATTTTTTTATTCGAATATGACAGTTATGTCGCTATTGGGAAGGAGGTGATATTTATGCTATGATATATATGTTTGTTGTGCTCGATTTTCGTGGTTTCGTTGACACTGGATGTCTTGGGCTAACATTACTCATAAAATCAACTAGTGCAATGATTCGTGTTAATTTCAGCTGCTATCATTTGGGCAAACCTTGTTTTACTCTCTTTGTACTTTTTCAGGAGTTATGTTGACATGTTGGTATTTTCTAGTTTTTTGTATGGTATTCAATAAATCAACGAAAATAAAACCGCAACAAAAACTTCGGATTAAAAAGTAATGATTAACGATTCAGCATTCTTCGTGAGACGAAGTATTTATGTGTGCATGTGAAATTAAATCTCAGAACTTTTACTTTTAATTCAGCTATCTGACAATATGAGGAGTAAGCTGGCATGATGTATTACATCAATAAATACCTCACGTAATATAAAGAAAGTCTTTTTTTTTACTTTGATTTGAAAAAATTGCTAATGACACGTCTGATGCTGTCAATTTTAATACTATCAATTAATGTAAACTGCTGAAAAATGAAATACTGCATACACATAACCTTATAGAACTAATTTTAATAGCTCAACGAGGACAATGATTCGACGTCTTTTAACATACGTCTCGTGTATGTAATTGATATGGTTATAGCTCAAATGAAAGGGAATTATTCGGTTAATTTAAACGAAGCCATCTTGCCTATCTTTTCATATAGAACGTAAAATCTACAAAGAATGAATACCGTGTCATTGTTGATGAATAAATTTTACATATAGATCACCGGCGTGGAATGTTTGACAATAAAAAAACAAATTAAAAATGATTTTAAATCGGCAATCACTTTCCGGTCTTTTTTATGTGGAAATTATGTACACAAAGATAGTAATTTAATTACTGAAAATGCTATGGATATTTAGTACAAATATTAAATGTGATCAGTTGATCTAGTAAACTTGACCGACTTCGGTAAAACTTCACTATTCAAATATCGCACATTAAGGTCACAAGTGTAATCAAATACAGATTTAATGAAACACGATTAGAAATATTTTTAATAGATGAATGCGACAAAGACTAAATTTTTAATTCATATTGGTGTAAAGTTATTTCCATTTCCGGGGTATATAAACCACTTTTACAAACCACCATATATATATATGTTAGAAACGATAAGTATCGTATGTTAAGTGTATCCCAAGCAAACATTCAAATTATCTGTTGTATTTGAAAATCAGGGTCGTTTAAGTACTTACAAATATTACAGAGGTTACTTGGTATATACACCGTGAAGTCATTACCCTCTATAATTTATAATTCTCAACATCTTAAATGTATGATACAGTTAGATGGACATCGTCAATATTATTTGACAAACAAGTAAATATAACGAAAAGTATAAAAGATTTAATATACAGAGCAGGCATGACTTTTCAATCCGATTTTATTCAATTTCCGGCGTACTACATATGTTCTTCCAATAGACTGAACAGCACTGGACATTTCTAAACCGACACACACCATTTACCTTATGTACAACAGCAAGCCTAATATCAAAAACTGTCTGTCCTTTCTGTGAATGAAACATCAACATTCCCTAAGCAAATAAGAATAACAAACAAATATATCAAATAAACCAAACAAGCCTTATTGACTTGTCTTCATCTGGTCATATATTATACAGTATATTGACTAACTCACCTGGAGTATAATATATCGCAAAGAGGTATTTCTGTGATGTAGATAAACAGCAGGTTTTACCTCACAAAATAATACTACTGAATATGTTTTCAATATGTGTATATAAATATATGTAAAGCTTTGTGGAGATGCAGTTTGGAATAAATCAAATATTCACAACTGACGACTTCCCCATTAAACCGGACAAGTATGTAAAGCTTTCCACTATATTAGATTTACAGAAAACCCGTAACAGGACTCCTGGTAAGATTACACTGTGTACCAATGTCATTACCCAACGACAACTATGGTATTCAAACCATGACCCATAAAAAATCGACACCCAACAAAATAAATAGACAGGGATATGTCATTGATGTTCGGTGTTTTTATAATCTGCCACAGGGCAAATCTACGAAGCTTTGTCAGTCTATGTATATAGTCAAGTCGGACTACCAATGTTGATCTGACTTGTCGTTATGCCTGTTGTCCGTGTCTGATATTCAATTTACCAAAGATGTATGAAATAGATTTGGTAGTTCAGTTGTCAGAAAGAAACAGAACCTTTGCCCTCAACAGTAGGAATGGAACGTGTGAATTTTTATCTTAGTTTAGATGTAAATCAATGTATATAACTACAATGTTAGAAAAATAAATAACTCCGCATACAAATTTTAAAAATCCTCAGATATAACATATAAAAACCCGATTGATCGTATTTCCGACGACCATCTGATTAAATAATACTGTACTTATTCAACTTCAACATGTCAAAATTCGAGCACACCCTGAAGTACCTGTCAATCACATAACGTTATGTTATACAGACAGCTTGACCATTGATCTTGGTAGTCTAGACTGTCCGCCATTACTGCACGATAAGTGTAACTGGCAACCCCAATGTTTATTGTGCATATGTAAACATTAAGTCACAGATCAGGTAGAACAATGATATAGACAAGAGGAGTTCAGTTTAACATCTTGCCTTTTGTAACCTGCTTGCCACGTTTTAATTCATTCGAATAGTGGCACGTTCAGTATGTACATATGTACACGACCTTCTTCAGAGATATGGAAATTACGAGATTTACTGAATTATGGTGTTAGTGTTCCTTACCGTCTAAAATTTGACATTTCCTTGGATTACTTTGGTATTTCCTCAGCCGCCTCACTGTTTGGCTGTAATGTACTGTAGCTTATCTAAATTTGTGTCAAATAGTGTTGTTCATTTATGTCATTTGCACCATTCACGCATATGTATTACTTATACTTTTGTACAATTATTAACTATTTTTGAGGTCAATACGAAGTTTTGTCAATCTAAGTAAAGTTACATTCCCCGAGGCTGACGATAACCTCTCGTGCAGGATTCAGCAAAGAGGTTAGCATGGTATTTTGTCGAAATCTGTTTGAGATCTCTAGGTTAATCATAGAAGAGGGATTCATACAACAATCTTAAAGATGAACTTTCATATTTCAACAATGTTTTCTTACCACACCACATGAATTCGTGAAGATGAATAAAAGCACCAAGAAGAATCTCTCTTCTGCAAATGACAAGTGATACCTGACAAAAGTCTCGTCCGTGATCTACGAAGTACCAACGTTTTAAATATAAATTATACTCGGAAATAACCCTTTTTACCACAATTGCTTGTTAATATATAAAAGTACTTTTCTACAATCATGCAATTTCATTGTGTTTAGTTTGTAAGTAACCAAATAAAATATCATTGACACACAAAACAAATAACATTGAAGAAAATAAATTTGTGTTACAGAAAATTTTCTTGTATTCATTGATATCGACAAACCACGAAGATATCATCCAATCTAATAAGATATTAAATATTGATGTATATAATCACGTTATAAAACGAAAATATTTATCCCTCCAAACAAGTAAAAAGTACTCACAATAATTCATGGTATACAGTATATCATGTTATACAAATATGGTTAACGGAAAAGTTTACAATGCATTCCTATTTTTAAGAACCATTTAACGACCTACTAAATCGTGGTCTTTTGTCGGGGACACAGAAGCCTCTGTGATCCTTAAATCAATTCACTTGTCCATGAATAACGCTTCTGATCCCTTGGTCAATACAGCTGTCAGTCAAATACACTGCAGCCTCTACTAACACCTTGTATGATACCTGTGTCGCCTGCTGATTTAAGACGTCAGAATTTATCATTCAATGTTCAGCATTATATGTCTATATAATGAGGTGTCTAAAGCTAGTCAACTAATTTAGAATCACGCATAAAATCACCTTAGTCAGTTACTTATACATCGAAAAAGACAGTTTTTAAGACTTTAAAATGTCAAATACATGTGGAGCAAATTATATATTAAAAAGATGATACAATGAGTTGATGTTTATATGTCTGTATGTCATGTTTGCCATTAGAGTTAATGTGATGATTTATTTCTAATCGAAGTACATACGTAACATTAGAATTATCATTTCAAAATTAAGAACAAATCCCTATGACATGTGGTTTTTATACATAGGGATCAGATTTCTGGGGGTTTCAAAATTATATTATGTCACGGGCAATTGATTTCGTGGTACTCACGATTTATTTTTATTCTTACACATAAAACTTTATTTGATAACTATTGTTACATCTCTTAGAAATAGATGTAATTGAGTTATGAACATACGTATGAGTGGATCAATAATATAAATACAGTCGAATACGATTAATGACTAGAAGTAAAAACGACTTTTTAATAGTAACACTAACACCATTTGGATAAGCTAGATATAAATTCCTATTTACAATTTGTACATAAGACATAAAAGTAAATAGTACCTTTAAAAAGTAGTATATGCTTTAAGTTCAAAGCTTGTTTGCCAATCCCATATGTAAGATAAATAGAAATATTGTTTGAATTAAACTGAACTGCAGCATACAGCTGTTCCAATAATTAAAATCTCGTCAGTAATGATAAATTGTTAAATTTGGAAACCTAGGAGACGACAGAGATAAACTTAAACTGACGAAATTTAGAAATTTAGATGGAAGGCCACTAATACCAAAACTAAATTCATTGTTCTAAATGTCCCTATTCAAGTACTTCACAGGACGTCAGTTAAATGTTGATATTCTGAAATGTAATATTCAAATGAAATAAACCGTTGCCTACGTCGATGATTTAAGTCAACCAGTAATGTTTATCAACTGCAATTTTTTTAAAAAGTGAAAAAAAAACCAAGTAAAAGATTAGTTGTGAATGACATGCATTAAACATTAAAATAGCAATACAAACAAGATATTAATAATGTCTAAATTATCATTAAATCTATACAGTAAATTAACTTCTGTTATATACGGCATGTAGCATTAACGCTACACCTGTTGATTATTTCAAGTATATATATATTTTTTCCCAATATTTTGATTTAACCTATAAAATTTGAAGCACCAAAAAGAATTCATTACAGTATAGTTTTTGTTGTGCACCAGGTCACAAATACTTTTTGTGTGTAATGATAGTTCATATAGTCTGACATGTTTTCAATGGCCTCTCTATGAGTACAGTAGGACAGCCCTGCCAGGTAAAGGCAATATGCTTCTTTATATGAGCCTCTCTATAACAGTTCTATATAGAGAAATCGATACAGCTTGTATATTTTAGAAACTCCGGAATGACAGTAATCCCTTAGTTTGAAACTTTCACATGCACACACAGAGTAAAATTGAGATACCACTGTTAAGAATACCATTGATGTAATATCTGTGTAGGAAAAATCTATATAGGGTCACAAGCTTATTTTCAGGATAGGCTTATTTCAGGCCAGCTTATTTTCGAGCTTCGCTTTTTATTATACAAGCAAATAGTGCCTATCTTATTTTTCAGCAAATTTCACTCTATCATCGAAAATACCGAAAGCAAAAAATCCCTCGAACTTTTGCAGTAGATCGCCTGACAAGTACAAAGACAACAAGAAAATACCAACAGGTCAACAAGATCATAATTAAAATTCAATAACACCCGGACAAACTATGAATGGAAGAAACATTCACCTCCCGAAAACATACAAGGAGAATAACACCAAGCGTTTCGGAAAGGTAAGGGTCGTCTACGTCCTTGACGACAAGTGTTATGTAAATCATGTTCATCTCAAATGATAACAAGTTATGATACAACGGAACCACAAGGAAAACAAGCAATCACTAAATACGTTAAGTTTCATATCGAAATATAATAGATTATTTCTCAGTAAGATCACTATGACGACAGTAAGATTTCCCCAACCTGTATATCGCTTGAGATTCTGGATATGTTTCCTTAAAACTGGTAAAATGTAATACGACATGTGTGGAGGGTATGATAGGGTGTAGAGTGGTGTAGAGTGGGAAGTTTAGAAAATAAGGATATTTGTATTGGTCGAAATCGATAAATTTAAAACCAAAAGATAAGTTATCTGTTTTTGAGCAATAAAAATACTTATCAAAAATAAGTGGGCCGGCATAGTGTGAAGATTCGTTATGTGATGATTATGATCATTTGAAGGTTTTTTATGCTAATAATGCACAATTCTGTTTTTATGATGGTTATTGAATCTGTCTTTTTATTACATAGTCTCTTCCGTCTTTTACGTTAAAATATGCCATGTCATGATGCTACACTCTGTACGGCTTTTTGACGATGATTGATGACAAAGTGCTGTGTTATATTTTATTCACATAGGACGTGCTCTATTATCTGCTATTCACTCACCTTAAAAGAGAACTGTTATACGAGAGCCGGTTGAATATACAACACAACCCTTGTTGATATCAACGCTCGGTATACGTGAACAAAGAATCCAATGAATCAATTAGTTCTGGTCAATTAGATTTTAAAGACTTTACAGAAATCAATTACTGATGCCTAAGTGTAATTGTATAAATCTGTAAGACAGGTTAGTAGATGTCAATTTCTTAACAATTTGCTCCGTGTTTACCATTAGAAAAATGTTAATATGAATACAAGCATATAAGTTTTGAAGTCTTAAATTCGGTTTGAATAAAGATATTACAAAAGACACACCAGTTAATAACACCTTTTAATAGAAATTTAGAATTAGAAACAGTAGAGACAGATAATGAATTTAGCTGCATCATACTGCTGTTTCTTCTTTTCTTAACTCGTAAGTAATGGGTCAAACTGGAAACCTATTTGATATTCAGTTTCAATGGGAAACTTACCGGATATGTAAGCTTTAAAAGACGATATATGAAAGAAAACCAAGATGTTAGAAATTAAATTTCACTTTTGGTTTAAAGTATGAATATGGTTATTTTGAGTTTTTTTTTCTAAAGTTGTTACAAGGCGAGTGTCGTCGATGGAATGGAAGACGCGTACCCTTCCAGAAAAAAACTGGTTTTATTCTCCTCACACTTTTTTCAGGTGTCTGCTGACAGGTTTAAGTTTTCGCTTTGACATATTTCATCGTCTAAATAAATTGATTTCAATAATTTTGGTATCATCGAATTGAAGGCGAAAGCGATCTCATATATATATATATATATATATTGATATGTAGATATTGATTAGGACAAATATACTGGTGATAACATCTGATAAATAGATGAAATATATATCCTGTAGAGTTACTCTCCATGTGACTCAACACATACATTGTTCTGAAAATTCAATATTTCTTGCAAAAATCATGTTATTCTTAAATTCGCATCGTACGTTCGTAGAATTGATATTGATATCATTTTTGTTAGTTCTATCATTTTTCATTTTCCATATTAAGTATATTAAGTAAACATTAAGTAAGATAGTAAGTAAACGGTCATACAGATTCTTTGTAATTGTAATTTGACGCTATCCATATAGGTTAAATGAGTTACGATTAAATGTTTATTGGGTTGATAATAGTATTACAACATAATGAGCTTTAAAAACCCCCGTTAAACCCGCTCTGAGGTCATCTGTAAAATATGGCCATATACATTTATCAATAACAATGTCTCTTCTAAACATCTCTAAAATCAAATTAACGAATGGCCTTCAACTTTCTGGGCACTATTGAAATGTTAATTTATTTTGAAAGGAATGCCGTTTTTTCATATATTGATATCCTCCAATCCCTTACAGTAATTACATGTGCATACATCAAATGATTCGGGAATGAGACGTACAAAAGACGAAATGATATGACATCGTATTACCCAAATATATTCAATGACACAATACACAAAAATGATGTTTTTAATCATTTTTTCAATGTATTTGACAATACTACCTGATTTCGAAACATTAACTCAATAACAGGTTTTCACCAAGTGTTGAAAAGATTAACGGAAGTCATCAGTTGAAGTTACACCAATGTGTTATTCAGCTGTTACCTGGTTACACATTCGGTTGTCATGTATTGCTATGTTTTTTAATTTGGTTTTCAGCCATGTAATTTACCTATTACAATTTAAAGAGTACTGTTGGTCACGTGTTATGTATGTAGCATTTACTCTGCTAAGTATATTTTCGGATCTTGGTGTCTTCAATTAAGGTAACGCCTACATTTCTAATTCTTTAAAATAATTCACCATTAAAACACAATTTCGTCAGGTAAATGAACAACGGAGAAGTATATCGCACAGCCTACGAATGGATACACTTAAAAGGGCGTTGCCTTGGAGAAAACATCATCATGGCCAACACAAGTAACCAATGTAAACAACATACACCTTTTTACTCTCCTCATAAAGAAAAGAACAGGAAAATTCGGCAATGGAGCTACATCCATCATATCATATCGCTTTTAATAAGACTTGTCAGCCACGGTCATTCAGTTAAAGTAAGTATCTATATATAGACAGAATCCAATAAGCTTAGATCTTATAGTCAGCGGTTGAAAATTTAAAGGGTTGTTTCCTCCACATGAATTATCCTTTGCTATTATAAGATGTATACAAATATAGGTAATTCTGTATACAGAGAAAAATGACTTTACGACTTTTTGGTATGCCAGTTCCATTTGACAATAACATTAGATATATTTTTAGTGATTATTTGTGTTTTATACAAATAAAATTTACTTCAATATGTCAGTGTTCAATCTTCCGAGAATATCTTTAATTTCACACACTGACACCTGCTAAAGAATTATTCAATTACATCAAATCATGCCTTATTTAGCACATATGTTATTTAAAAGATATAATTTGTATTGAGAACGAGATATTCTCTACTGTTACCGTATGAACAGACGTGACTCAGAAGGAACTGAAGACGCCATCCCTAATGTGCTACCTACCTTGTAATAACAATGGAGGGTAGCGGTTTCCCGCCATCTCCTGATCCAACAGTTGTGCCTTCTCCCATCACGGCAGTCGCCGCCGCCATCTAGTGGCATACAATGTCAAGATAACTTCTAAAACTGCATCACTCCAAAGTTAAATAATTGGGAAAATAATCACTATTGATAAAGTTGATTATTTAAACCACAATTTCATCTAAATAATTAATGGTTTGTTTATTTTCTCCAAAAGGTAGATGATATAATCACACTGTTGAAAATCTAGTAATGTGTCCACATTGTCCTCTTCATTTGTTACTTCTACTGTTACACGATTCTTTTTTACCTTCAGATGCAAAAAGATTCATTGAGCACGTTTTTCACTTCTCAAACTACACGATACAAAAATAAACTGCATCAAAATAGGACAGTTCCATACAACAATTGATTAAATACACTTCATCCAGAATTGTTCAGCCACACTATTTACATACCCGAGCAGCTATGTAATGTATATATATATGTCGACTCTCCTAATACTTCGCTATGACTGTTAACGACTGCGAGCCAGCTACTTACACGGTGGCCTGTGATATACACCTTACACTGATCTCTACAAATCATCATATAAACTACGATCGTATCTTATTTAGCTCAATCCTTTTCTGTCACACCCATTGGTGCGTAAAATATTCCCTTTCATCGACTTCTGTTGAACGCAAGTCTTATATACCTGTTCGATGTTAACGTTTCTTCCTATGGAATATAATATAAATAATACTGAATTCTTACTTTAATTGAATATATATTTTCATTTTCATTTTGAACTTCTATCAGTTTCTTTTTGAATTGATGTTAAGATATTGTTTTAACACACGTGTATTACATGCGTATGTCCACAGTATTTGTAGAGTGTGTAATGATCATCGACGTCTACTGAACTACCTCTTTAAACCATCATCTCACCTCACGTGAATTAGCTTCTATAAATGTTATTTCGCGACTCCAAAACGTCGCATTAAAATAATGTCATTCATTTGTCGCCTAACGCTTGGGTTGACAATCCTTTAAGATCACGTTTTCATTTCTAATCGCTTTATAACATATCAAAATTATCTTTGTCTCTACAGAACAGAAAAAAAGTATTGCCTTTGACAAAACGTAATGATGATGATGATGATGATGATGATGATGATGATGATGATGATGATGAAAAAGACTTGAATCGAACTTTTTAGCAATAAGAACTTATTTTTGCATACTTTATACATTCATTTGCCGAGACCTTCAACATTATTAGTTTTATTTATTAATCGACATCAAATAATGACTAACTAGTTACATTTGTTAAGTCTATTGTGTTATGATCTTTGACTGGTTTGAACGTAAAATTAGATTCGTTGAGTTCGAATGCCGTGTCTTTGTAAGGAATGTTTCACACGGATTTTGTGGAAAGATAGCTAGGTAAACCGAATGCTTGTATATTTTAGATTGTTTATCATATACATTCGCGGATAAAGAGGAAATAAATCCCGACGAATATCAATGAGTTAACAGGATTTGCTGCCTGAATTGTTTGTGTTACTGGGTAACAATATCCTACATAAGTAAATATCGTGTGATCCTTAGGTACACAGTAAAAAGACATTCATACCGGATTCACTACTCAATCTAAAAAATTCCTATACAGAACAGACGACTGTTTGAGTACCTGACTGAACCGAGTACCTGAAAAAAACTTACTATTTGAGTTCTAGTTCTACATAACTGTTTGGTTACCTGATGAAACAGGAAACTATTGGTCATTCTAAATATAAGATAACACTCTATCCTACATACCTGCTCATAGTTGTTATGGCATCCTACTGAACATACAAACTATTCCGTAACATTATTTAACATAAGGTTGTTCTTTTACAAATCCTTAATTGCTGAGTCATCTGTCACAACACAAATTCAAGGTTCAACGGCAAAAGTCCCATTCTTACATAATAAAGCATTTCCTGACTTGTAAATTTTTCTGTTTGCCCTACAACACCATACAGGTGGATTCTTATCAGGTGCATGATGACAACACCAGGTGCAATTAGTATTATTATATTGATCATGGAAATATATCGGTAACGTTCAAATCGATTACGGAACAGATAATGGATTACAACATTGAAATTATAAGATAATATTTACACTTTTATAATGTAATGACTATGTACATAACTATTTGATCTTGTTCTGTATTTTAACACCAAACTATTAAATGGCAGAGTCAAAATGTTAAGGTAAGTCGTGTTTGTTTGGTCTGCCGTGCTGTGAGTATAAACATTATATAAAGGTTCATAGGAAAGACGTCATGATTATACTCGGATATTTGTCCTTATATGAAAAGACACTTTTAAATTATACATGTCACGTAGTGTTATTGTACATTATATTGTTCTATATGCTTATCTAATATTTATGTTATCTTTACACCGCCAATCATACACTGTTTTCGAATGATTATGTCCAAAACACTTCTAATCATAAAACCTTAGTCAATAACTTGTAGCAATAGATGAAGCAAAATCGACGCTTACCATTCCGGAACACCGTCATATCATCTTGTACTTTTTTAGGAGTATATGCGAAAATACCTCTTTTGTTAATATTTTGTCGATGTTTGATCTAATTCGAGTTTGAATTCTGATGACATGACGGTATTTTATGTTTCGTTTTGGTAGGAACATGAACGTATTTTAATGTTACAACTCATTTGAGCAATATGCCGTGTACATTACTGATATAGACATCCACAAATATGACTTAAGCAATGTTAATGTTGCATAAATGCTATTAATAAAATCTCATTGATTTTTCAAACACGTTTCATTTGTCGCATAAAGAAATTCAGGTTACAATGTGTAATACGTATTTCGAACAACTTTAATGAGTGTCCATTAAAAGGAAAAGACAAGCTGTCCATTAAGGCTATAACTTCTGTCTTTGATCTTTCCTCGGTCCATTCTCGTCCATCATGACACGCGATCATGATCGCGATATTAAACGATCAAACTTAGTGTCACTGTGAGAGGATGAGTTTGTTGGCCAATAGATATAGATAAAAGATGACGGAAAAACAGCCTTAAGGTGTGGATGGATAGATTGGTGGATGGAAGGGTGGGTGGATGGGTGGATGTTGGATGGGTGGATGGATCGATGTTGGGTGGATGGAGTGACGGGTGGGTGGATGGAAAGATGGGTGGATGGATGGATGGATGGATGGATGTTTGATGGATGGATGGATGGATGGATATTTGATGGATGGATGGGTGGATGGGTGGATGGATGGATGGATGGATGGATGGATGGATGGATGGATGGATGGGTGGATGGGTGGATGGGTGGATGGATGGATGGATGGATTGGTTGATGGATGTTGTATGGGTGGATGGGTGGATGGATGACTGGATGGGTGGAGTAGGTGGGTGGATGGATGGATTGATGAATGGATGGATGGATGGATGGATGGATGTTGGATGGGTGGATATATGTTGGACGGGTGTATGGATATTGGATGGGTGGATGGGTTGATGGATGTTGGATGGGTGGATGGGTGGATGGATGACTGGGTGGTGGAGTAGGTGGGTGGATGAATGGATGGATGATGGAAACATTTTTTACCTTTAACAGTTGCATAGTTTTGTATTCATCGAAGTTGACCTCACCCAACGCGAGCCAAGAAAATCTTCAGTATTGATTCTCTCTATAGACTGACGAAGGCCATCCTAGTTTCTTTTTTTCCTTCCAGTACATTTTTGAATGATATATTCGCTGGCAAGTATTATCAACTAGACTTCTATTGTATCTACTTAGATCACATTACTATTTTCAAAATTATTTTGGAAAACCGCCAAAAAGACACCTCTTGATGATGCTTATCATGTTCTGATGGGAATTTTCTGATGCCTGAGATGATCAGAATTCAGTCATTTGTATTCATATGTAATTATTTATACATGCTCTCATATCAATAACCCCAGATCACAATCTTTAGCATTGATACTGAATGATTTATGTTTGTAAAGAAAAAACTTGGAAATGTTTCAACTATATGAGGATTGATCTCTCTAATTCAATATAGTGATTATAAATCTTATATCATCACTTTGAATAAAACTGAAGGTAAATACCGGTCGTGAGTAACTGAAAGATTTACAACAGATACACATGTTAATATCACCTTTTAATAAAAAGATAGAGTTATATGTAGTGGAGCCCAACTGCACCATACTTCAATTTCATTTTTCTACTGGACTCGGCAGTGATGCTGAGAGCCGAACTTTTGATAAATAGGAGAAGAATAAGGCAAATCCAAAGATCAAAAGAAATGTCAAATTGTCGTTAGGGAAGTGCACTAGCCTCATTTTTCTTTTTTTCAATGTTCAAATATTTAATGCTTCAGAAGAATGTCAAATACATGTTTTGATTTCTGAACTGTTAAAAATATTTGAATAAATTAAAACATGGCATGTCCTGGTAAAAAATCTTGGTCGGAAAATTGCACTGATGAAGGACAATGTAAACACGGATATCATATCAATGCATTATTTTATTAATATACCACATGCATTTATTACAAATAACTTTGAATTAATAGATATCAGTAAAATAGTTGACTTCAATATCTCGATTATCCTACTACCACATTCCTTCACATAAGCCTGTGTTACTGATTGACTGCACGATGGCGAAATTGAGAAAATCTTATGCTATTTTTTATGTTTCTTTTAACTTTAATCGATCAATCAACAATCATTATTTCAATGTTACATAATTTTATCGGGTTTTTAATAAAAGTGCAATCGGGTGGGTTGGCAAGCGACCGAGCCCATGTGTTGACTTTTACGTGCGTTAACGAGTTGAATGAGTACTAGAGTGAACCCCTTCATTCGTATATATCGTCTTTATGTGACCTTAAGTCGAGGAAATGACTTAAAACTCTAAACACGACAAACGATTTTGTATCAGTATATAATGCTGAAATTCTTGCTTATGTAAATTCTTATTTACAAGAGATCAATGCTCACACCATCTTTCAAAGTCAATACGGTGTTCAGATGTGAAATGG